CGGGGTAGAAGAGAAACATCTTTTGGACACTGATTACGCTGATGACATGGCTATGTTAGATAACTCAAAAGAGGGGCTGCAGGAAACCACTGACCTTCTCTGCAAATACAGTGCCTATGCGGGTCTGAAGATTAATGCTGGCAAGACACAGAGCATGGTTGTCAGCAAAAGTGCATCGCAGAGGCCGTATTCTAAAGACGACACTATGGACATCAATGTGGAAGGTCTCCCAATACAGCAGGTCAGCAATTTCACTTACTTGGGTGCAATCATCAGTGCGAATGGAACAATTGACAAAGAACTTTCAGCTCGAATTCAAAAGGCCTCAGGGGCATTCTATCAGCTCAGCAGTATATGGTACAGTCGCAACATCAAGACTCCAACTAAAATCAGGATTTACAAAGCGGCTGTTCTCACTATACTGCTTTATGGAAGTGAGGTATGGAATACCACACAGACGCAGATGAAAAGATTTGAGGTGTTCCATCATAGATGTCTCAGGAGAATCCTGAAAATAAAATGGTTTTATCATGTATCTAATGCTGATGTACTTAAGCGGGCTAACATCGCCCCTGTTGATACTTTCGTACGAGCAGCTAGACTCCGATGGTTTGGCCATGTGGTGAGGATGCCAGAAGAAAGAATACCCAACTATCTTCTGCACTGGATCCCAAAGCATGGTAAAAGGTCAAGAGGTAGACCTCGGAAAAACTGGTTGTCATGTGTCCGGGAGGATGCAGCAATCTTCACAGGTGTCGATAACATCACGATAGAAGATGCAGAACAACAAGCTACAGACAGGGTTCACTGGAGAGGTCTAATACACCGGAGAAAGGAGTTACTTTGTGGTGCAGGCCACTCCAACGACTAGGAGGAGATTTTTTCAAGTACAAGTAAGTATTGTTGTAAGTACACAAAACCTGTGAAAGAAAATATTTTATTACATAATAAAATAACTTTAAATCCATATTAAACAAATTCCAAATAAATATTTATTTATATAAATATAAATATTTGAGTTGGCACACAATTTTTTGTCTCTGATTTTAATAAATTTTGTACCTCTAAGTGTGAATAATGCAAATTCACCGTGTAGCACGATAACGTCGAGCTGTAAATGGGCCTCCTGTGCATTGCAAAACTGTAAAAAGGACGGGAAATGTAATAGGTAATTTCTTGCTTAAAATGCCTATAACTCCTTAAGTATCAAATACTTTGAAATGATTTTTACAGGATCGTAATAAGCTTATATTAGTCAGACGCAACTACCAAACTACCGATTACATTACACACAAGGCCTCATGTATGTAATGTATCACACTTCACAGACGACAGCAAACAAAAACAAAAACGTAGGATACAAGGATACAAGGATACAAGGATACAAAAGTGATAATTATTTTATTGGATTCACAATAGTTATAATTCTGAAATAATTTAAGGTTACACAATTCTAGTTATTTACAAATGTGTAGGGATAAAATAGAAATGTTTTATAATACTATTTTTGAGGTCCTATAGCATTATGCATTGGCCAGTATTTGAGTGGAAATCTGGGCTCTTATAGTAGGCTGTAAAATTTCGTTCACAGAGAGAATTGAATGGATTGCTCTTGCTGTGGCAGTAAATTTTGTAGGGTCTAGTGTTTTATCGGATAGCAAACCGGCTAGGTCAGTAATATTTTTGGGATGGAAGTTAAATTTTTCTCTAACTGAGGAGTAGAGTAAACAGTCAGTTAGAACATGAATTTCGTCCTCAATAGGCTTAAGCCCCTTGCTGAAAAAGCAAAAAGTGCACCATCGATGTTCTCTTGGTACTAGGGGGGTTTCGTAACGGCCCCTCTCAATGTAAAGATTGTGGCAGCTAATACGAAACCTTGTTAAGCTTTTCCGAGCATCGGGGATCTTAACCACTCCTAAGTATGTTTCTGGTTCAAAATCATGTTTAATTTGATTGTAGAATTCTAATTTAGGTGAGGATGCCTTGGCAGATTTCCAGGTATCCACAAATTCTTCCCTCATGTTGTGACTGATTTGGGTAGAGAGCTTGGATTTTGAAGAGGATGAGTGGGGGAAGTTATATTTGGTGAGAAGATTAGAGATGTTGGTGTACCAAGGAAGGCCCAGCATAATCTGCTCATGAAATGCAGCGGAGAGAAGTTCATTTTCAGTGCTTTCAAGGCGACTATAGAAATCTATTGCAAGTTTGCAGGCTTCAAAGAAGAGGGGGTGGCGCCCACTTTCGCCCCAGCAGCCTATATTTGATGCTTTTGAATGGACAGACAAGGACCACTTGATAAACTTAAGGTGGAATCTTTCATAGTGGTCTTGTGAGATGTACCTGAGAGTATGCTGGGGGTTGGCTTTGCTATCTGTTTTGGAGAGGTATCTCATGGTTTTTGAGTGAGGACATAAGATTTGGCAGCCATAGAGCAGTATCGGTTTTATTAGAGAGTCAAATAGAATGTTTAGGGAACGGTGAGAGAGGGCATCTTTGACGATATTGCCTTTGAGGCCATAGAGAGCACGGAGAGCCTTGGCCCTCAGTTCAGTATTTGCTGCTGTAAAAGATCCATTTCTGTGGAATATAATGCCAAGATAGCAGTATTTTTCGGTGTGTTGGATGGGCTGGCCTCCCAAAATGAATGTTTCATAGGATTGTTTTCTTTTAGGAGGGCAGAATATGAGAATCTTGGTTTTTTTAATGTTTACTTCGAGGCCCATAGAGTTACAGAAGTCGAATAGGATGTTTATATTGACTTGCAAGGACTTGGGACTTAGGGCAAGTAGGACAAGATCGTCAGCCCAGATATGGTTGAAACAAGACACCACACGTGTACGATCTCAGCCGGGCAGTATGATAGCAGCCAATAGGAGGGGGGGGAGGTACCGACGGACATTAATGGCAGTATTTTAAATTTTTGCTCAGACTGCCATTGCCCATAAATGCACATTAAAGCCCATTAAAAAGTATGGGCATTAATTTCACATAGCAATGTGTATATGTGTACTGCGTGATTTGCTTGTTTCACGCGCTTGTTTCACGTTACTGCAAGCGAGAGAGCTCTGGTTAGAGCAAGGCATTAATGGCAGTATTTTAAAATTTTGCTCAGACTGCCGTTGCTATTAATGCCTATTAATGCCCATTAATGCACATTAATGTCCGTTGGTACTCCCCCGCCAATAGTTCAAATTGCAAGGTGTCCTGGACGAGCTAATCATATAATAGATTACCTGTAGTAGATGCGCTTGATGTGCTTTGTACCCGTTTACAATAAACTATGTGTTAAAACTGCGCGGCTTAGTCGTCCAAACGTAGGATTGGACGACCAAAAACACAAAATTTCACAATTAAGATCATGCGTGCGCTTTCATTCGAACGTTTGAGTGAATAAAGAGCTTTATATTACGATTAGATATTTCCGAACACTATTACCAAGCTTGTAATCTTTTTTCGCTCTTGTGAGTGGGTCAATCATTTATTTTGAATTGTAGTTGACAAAGGCATGTAGCCGAAACGTCGACAAATTAACACACTGAGTGGAGACTCTCACTTCGTCAACTACAGTTTAAAAAAAACTATTACCAAGCACTATTTCTATTTTTAAGCACCAGACACCAGATGATAATTTTAGGGCGTCCACTGACGCCTGGACGCCCTCAATAGCCGCCTCTGTCATAGACTATGAAGTCCGGAGGGAGTTTGTTCGAATACGGATTCGTTTTTCCAGTTTTCACATATAATCATTATATTTATAATGCAGAATTAAAAGCTGCTTTCGATATGACTGGTGGTGGGCTGTCTCCGGCGGGACATAGATCTATATAGGGGGAACCCGGGTACGAGTTAACGAACAGTGTTCGTGTCCTTCCACAACCCCCTGTTACCTGTGTTTCTGTCGGGGTAGCCTAATTCATCCGTTAGAATCGCAGAGTTAGCGGAGCTCATGATATCTCGCGACGTATGCTGCATGAACGGTGCAAGACTTGCGCCGTTTGTTTCAGCATCCAGTTGCGAGTGCTTGCCCATCGAAAACATGATTAGTGATTGTGGATTTTATTGATGTTACTGATTATCCAATTTGATCAGCGCGCCAAATATTGAGGTTTACCTGCAATTACATGTAAAACTAAATAACTTAAACTGTAAAAACTTTTAAAACCTTAACTTGAAAAGACTGGCCACACCCAGAAGCTGAAACTTGGCAAAAGTGTTCTTTGGGGTGTTGCGCAAAAACGTTATGTTTTAGAATTTTGATTTTTGCCTTTTTTCTTGAAATATGAGGTTAACTTTACCCCAAATTCGAAATTTTTTGTAAAACAAAGATGTAAGCTTAATCTTAGGCACTAAATCTCGATTCTCAATGACAGTGCAATATATTTGACTGTTTTGGCAATTACAAATGATTTCGTTTGCCGCTATAATAATGGATAGCATAGTGTGTTCTGAAACTCTTTTACAATACTGCTACAGAATGACTAAATTCACCTAATTTGTCCAATTTTACGTTTCTACTTTAAGAAGGGGAGGGACGTCAAGCAGGGGGGGGGGGGGGGGGGGGGGGGTGCGGGTGGTCATTGACATTTTACTGTATTTAGGATGTTCATAAGAAACAAGTTATGGAAAGACCAAATTCAATAAATTAAGTCATGCATATATTTTTTTAAACGTGCTTATGATATTAATTAATCTTTTTTTTTAATTTTCAATGTTTTTACTGGTAATTGCATACCCTTTATCTTGTAATTAACTGTATTAAGGCTTAACGATTTTTTCATGGTTTGGAACCTAACCATGGATTGCTTTTCTGTTTTTCTGACTTGTTTTTTGTGGCACCTGTGTATTTTAAGTTATTGTGCCACTATATTCTAAAAGTTTAAATCATTATTATTATTATATTCTGTTGAAAACTTCCCCCCTAAAGTGACAATTCAATATCTGTGTATAACCCAGTTGAAATTTCCTAGCAATTTCAAGTGTATAATCTTACCCAATACTTAGGTATGCCTCTGTTGTACTCCTGTGTTGCCTGTGATTCTGTTGTGCTTGCAGACCATGCTGATGTCGTTGGTAACTTTGAAGCTGCCACTCAACAAATATTGGACAGGACAGATAGCTCTAAGTTTTCAAGGCACACATACAGTGTCAACCAGTAAGTTTTACATCTTTACAGCTGTTTGACTTTTTGGTATATATGGCTACTAATCGACTTTGACAAACAAAAAAGATAAACCTTGGTTTTTCTGAAAAATTGAATAAATTTCATTTGTCACAACAAATCTGGCTTGCCTCCCCAGTTGCAGTATCCATGTCTGTATAACTGAATTTGATCTTGATATTGTTATTGCTCGATAGGTAATGAAGTTGGCTGAGGTTCTGTGTTTATTATTTTAAACCATATTATAATAATTGTGCTCTATTGCATAATTTTCAGGTACAACTATCATGTTTTAACAAAAAAAGGATTCACCTTTCTTGCAATTGCTGACCAAGAATTTCCTATGCGAATTTCATTTGCTTATCTGGAAAAGGTTTGTTCACCTTATTAAAAGCACATTAGCTTGTAAATAATAACATTTTATCTTTTTAATTTTATGCAAAATTTGGTAAGCAAAATAATGTGGAAGACAAATCAAATTCTGTGGGTAAAATTAATTGTATTTTCACTGTGACCTGTTATCTTTAAAAATTCAAAGAGGTCTTAATAGTATAAAAACTGGATATTCAGATCAGCTTTTATTTTTCATCATGATAGTTTAAACTTCCACAATAAAATCTGTTGCTGCAAAACAACAATATACTCCTTAAACACTTTTATACTACAGATTGGGGAGAAGTTTTTCTCAGGAACCTTACCCCAGCGAGCGAGCAATGCTAAACCATATGAGTTTCGAAGAGACTTTTCACCCATTCTCTCCTCCTGCATCGTGAGTATATTTATTTAGGTTTTTTAGGAAATGTTCCTTTAACAGAAAATCAAATAAATTAAAGAATGCCCTTCAGGAATTGTGGCATTGTGCCATGAAATAAACCGGCTGTTGCCAAAGCTAATTAAAACCAGTTTCAAAACTTAGCATTAAACAAAAGAGAAAGACTGGTCCATGTGCTAGGCAGCTCAAAGTCGTACAACTTCTCGAACTCAGATATATAACAAATAAGCGTTCTAAATTCCATTGAACAATAAAGCTGATACAGCTTTGGGAAGTTTCCCATCCTCAATAGTCCCACGTAGGTTAAAACGTTGCCTCAGACATCTCTCCATTGGTGAACATGACTTCATGCTCTTGTTCTTGCTCTTGTTCTGGATCAGCGTGCCACTCGGAAGCAAGCTCAGACCAGTCCACACATTGGGTAGTGCTTTCCCCATCGAGCTGAATGTTCAGACACTTAGCATATTTTCCAGAGGCTTTTCCTGCTCTACTGTGATAGAGCTCTATCTTTTCTACAGACTCTTGTTGTCTACTTGCCGTAGGCACTATGACTTGAGTTACCAACTCTCGGGTGTCAGCAGTTACTACCGTGCTTGTCGTAGGAATTCTCAACTCTTTCTCTCTAGAAGCTCTCTGCTCAAGTGAAACTTCTTCAGAAAAGTATCTTGGAGTCTGATCTTCGTCAACCATCCTTTTTTCTGTACCATCATTACTTTCGGGTGAAACAAATTGATGCTTCTCTTGATCTTGGGTCGTCTTCTCACGTCCTATCACAACACCAGGTCCACTCCATCTGTCAGAATTGTTTCTCTTATAGAAAACCTTTTCACCCATCTCCAGCACAGTGTCTTGACAGGTACGGACCTGTGACCGCAAGACACGTTTGATTTTAGCACTATTCTCTGCTTTTATGAACTCCTCACGTGCAGTCCTCATTGCTCTTAGATTGTCTTCCAGATGTCTACTGGCAACTTTCTCCTCCAAGGAAGGAAGATGATTATCTACCACATTTGGCAATGGCGGGTTCTTTCCCAAGACAAGCTGGTACGGGGAATATCCTCCTGACATCTGTCCTTGCACAGTTTTCAAGTCCATTGCCACACAATCATTGAAGACAGTTCCCCTTGGCAGCCCGACAACCGGTCTTGGTTTTGGCTTAGCATATCTTTGGCACACTTCGCAGTTACTGCATACTATCTCTAGAGCCTTCATAAACTCTTTCTTAGTGAAGCCTGCATTCCTCAACATACTCTGCAGCTTGTATGCTGGAGCATGAGCAAACTGCCTATGCAGTTTCAAGGCTTTCTTTTTCATTTCTTTTTCATCTGTGCCACCCATAGTATCTTCAGTAACTGTCAATACCAACTGCACACTTGAGTCGCTGAGACATCTCCTTCTGTTGCACAGGGGTACACAGTAATGTCCTGACTTACACTCAAGCAATTTGACCTGTTCTCCGTTGAACATCATTATGTCTTTGGTTAAGTCAATTACTGCTCCTGCCTTCTTCAAAGAGGGTTTGCTCAATAGTAGGGGTAAGTCACAACTCACAACATTTGCATCGATGAGTATTTTCTGCGTCCCTATCCTCCCTGGTATCTTTATCTTTTCAACTGAGGTCACCTTCTTACCATCTCCGAACTTGAAAGGGGTTGCACATTCAGTTGGAGTCATCATCCGTCTTTCTTCTTCTCCCAATGTTTCTGCATACTGTTCAACCCAGTTTCTTCCAACCACAGTCTTTGTGCAGCCAGAATCAATGACTGCACACGATAGTGTCTCGAACACTAGGGAGCTGAAATCGGGCTTCTCCTGAATGAGGGTGCAGGTGGTTTCTTCTACCATCAGAGTCACGTAGGCGCTTCCAGAGTTCTCTGATTCCATTTCTTCCTCCGCGAAGTACTGAGCACCTCTTGCTTTCTTTGGACAAAAACGAACAATATGGCCCTTTTCTCCACACTCAAAACAGCCGCTATTGAACCTGGTTCTAGCATCTCCTGAATTATATGGAAATGAAGTTCCTCTGTTGGTTCCTCGGTTATTTCTGTACGGACCACTGTAACTCCCTGAACCTCTTGAACCTCCTCTAGAGTCTCGTCTCCAGTTGTTGTTGTAGGTAAAGTTACACTCTTCTGGCTCACTCTTTATCACAGTAGTTTCACTTCCGTGTTGCTGACTGTCGGTGTTTGGGAGTCGTGTGAAGATTTTCCCTATCGTTTTTGCCATCTCTGCATAGGTCATACTCTTCACAGTTGCCAATGCAAGATCGACTTTCTCTGGTGCCAGCTTGGCACTGTTCAATACTCTATATGCAAGTACTTCTTCTGGCAGCTCGATCTTGTGCTTTTTCAGATCGTCGTACAACTTCTCGAACTCAGATATATAACTCTGCAGATTCATTTCATCGCGCCTTTCATACTGTTCGAACTTACAGTATATTTTATATGCTATATGTGACGAGTCTTCCTTGTAGATCTTATCTAATCGAGCTATTATCTGCTCCAAGCCATCCTCAGCTATGAGCACTTCCTTGCCCAAGGATCTAACATGGTTCTTGACTTTTCCTTCATTCAGCTCCAAAAGAAACGCAGTTGCCCTCCTCTTCTTGGGAAGAGCTGTAAACTCACTCCACAGATCAATGTCCAACCTCCAGTCTTCATAGCAGCGACCTTCCTTGTAAGCCGGTGGAGCCTTGTATCCAGTCCTATTGTTACCCAAGCTTGGTGCAGGTGTCTCCTCTGAGTTTTCACCTGTCATCACGGTAGATCTCAAATCAGCAGGTTCACTTCCTTGCTACCAATGTGAAATGGCAAGTACCAGTGAAAGCAATGAAACACCAAGGGTATAAGGGAAGGGATATCAAACAAGGCTCCACTAGCCTAAGACACATAAACAGGGAACATATCTCCTGAAACAGTTATATAGTAGTAATTGAAAGTATTAAACTATGTTAATGGAAATACAAACATTCACACTATGTACATGTCACACTTATTTATAATTTACTCACATGCTTTAGGACATCATATTATGATTTAATCATTAGGTCATCATATTATAATCATCATATTAATAACAAAGTTTAATAATTAACTTGAAATTGTGAAACATCAACTTACCAAAACTTTCCACTTTGCAGGTTCAGTTTAACAAGACAAGGGAGGTAGATAACATGGCAGAACTACATGGACAAGTTGAAGATGTTAAGGGAGTGATGAATCAGAATATTGAGAAAATTCTAGAACGTGGAGAAAACTTAGAGCAGTTGCAGGAGAGAACTACTCAGCTTAATCTTAATGTAAAACCTTGTTTCTTCAAACATTACAGTTTTAATGTTCTTAGCTATGAGATTTTATCGACATATTATATCCTATACCTTAGGAATGTAGTGGCTAGCCCACATATTCTACCTCCAATCCACGCTGTACATGTGCACTTATTAGCCACTAAAAGAGAGCCTACAGTGCAGTGTATAATATGAAGCGATTACAACTGCCAAATTAGTCCACGCCACGGTCTTGTACACAATATGCAATGATCATGAAATTCGTCGTCCAAGCTTCAGACACATAACTCATTTAATTTCACAATGATAATTAATTCTATCAAATTTCTCCTCAGGCTGACAGATTTCAATCACAAGCTGTACGATTGCGAAGGAAGATGTGGTGGCAAAACCAAAAGGTGGTAATTTCTCTGGTGGTGGTTTCACTTTTAATAGTAGGGATCGTATCTCTTATCATCTGCTGGCAAGAGGGGGTCTTCAAAAAGAAATAAACAGTTGAATGATTCTTTGAAACCTTGAAACAGATTTTTATGCCCCAAATGATTATTCCTTCTGAGGTTTTGTGGACTTTGTGTTAATGGATTTTTTAAATGTTACCGTGTTGGCTTTTCAATGTTTATTGTTATATTATATTTGACGTTTTGAATCGCATTTTGGCTAAGATTTGTATGTTTTTTAAAAAGAGAGTATCCCAGTTGAGTGTTTAAAGAGGGTTACAGTGCAACGATCTGTTATACACACGTCACATAATGCTTACCCTGATCATTTGACAGCATGGTAACACGCACATAGCTATCCTGGAGCGAGCGTTCTATTTGTGAACAGTACTGTAATCCTGTTTATACTGTAGTTACAGCGGATTTTAAGTTCCCAGTACTCCTATAACTTATTCACTTGATGTCATAGAGTACGTTATTATTAGGTTAGATATTAGTTGTTCGATTCCATTGTATCAAGCGCGGTCAGACATTTGAACTAAGCGTCTGCACTCTGCTCTATTTGCTAAGAAATAGGGCGTTGCTTCTAAAGTACATATAATTTAATTCGCATGCTCACGTGACACGAAACTGAACTAGATTTGAGCAGTATGTGGGACATTTTGTAAGTTGTGGCAATGAAAAGCAAAGCAATTTGTTTTTCATGGTCATAAATATTTGATCAATTGACGATCGTAGATTAAGACTAAGATATAATCTTTTGACCATTCCAAACTACAAGACATGGGCCTTGAAATATCATACTACCCTTTAATGTCAGGGTTTTATCCGGATTTTGTGTTGTTGGTTAATAAATAGAGTGAATACAATATAGAATGATCATTGAACTTAGTGACTCAGTGGTTATGTGGTAAAATAGCACCAGTGTCGCATAGTGATTTAACATGCTATTTTGTTCGATCTGAATTTATTTTTGTTATTTTCGTGAAGCTTATGTTTTGACCAGCTCTTAAAATATTGTTATGAAGATTTTTCTGAACGATTTAATGATTGATGTATGACACTAAACGGGCTGATTACATTGTACATTTCATGACAAGAAAACAATTTGTTATTTAATTTCGCATGTTTTTCTCGGTGTATTCAAATATTATTCAAACATATTCTTGTCATTAACTATCTTTTGACACCACTTGGGGGTCCAAATTTTGGGACCTAAAATTCTTATTCCCTGGCGAATTTGTAATTTCTTCATACTAGTCAAAAGGCCATTATAAAAGCATTCGACCCAGTCAAAAATGTTTGAATGATATGGTATCTCTCACGGTTTTTGCGGGAAGTCGCGTTAAACTGTTAAAGTTGATGACGTGGTGTCAGTAAAATGGTAATAGATATATAACGTAATGTATTATATGTATTATTTTGACTGAAATTAGAAAAAATTTTCCGGAGAAAACTTTGATGCAATTAAAATTTTGAACTGTTTTGACTGCATTTTTCTTGAATGACCAACTTGGAAGGTCACTGAGAATGGCACAAGACACGATTGAGGTAGTACTCAAAGTTCTATTCCCAAAGAAAGCTTTGATAAACGGAAAATTGTCAGAATATAAAAAGAAACTTTGGAAGATTTTTTGAAGAGGAGCGTTTCTGCCGTCACCTTGACCGAAATTTCGCGGTTTTGATTGAAATTATGACCAGTGACCAATCATTGAGGTTGGTGAGAATGACATTATTATATTATAATATGCATCTAGTTTAGCAAAAAGCACCACCGTCATCTTAATTGATATATGAGAGGTTGAGGTATGATTATCATGATGTTTAGGCAATAGCCCTAAACTCAGAAAGTTGTATGATAATAAGAAATGTCTGAGCGAATAATCCACTCAGAGCATCTTTTACGTCTTATATCTATATATAATAAGAGCTAGTAATAACTTTCTCAAACGCACTGTCCCGTATCACTGCACTTGAAGATACTCATTATAGTCTAGACGTTCTGGATAACAAGTAAGCAGCTCCAGTTGAATCGCCAACTAACCAGACCTTTTGACGGCATCTTGACTTACGCAAACAACAACTTACTTACTATTTGTTAATTCTATGCATGTCACGTGGCACGTCACTTATTAAGATTTCTACTTGCTACATTAAGATATCACAAAAACAGAAGAGTGATCGGCGTCAGACGCGGACAGCTCTGAGAGATCAGGAGATCTTGTGTTACTTGTAACTTGTACTTACTTGTGGCTTTTTTCTGTGGTTTATTTGCTTAGTTTAATATGATAGCATATGTTTTAAACCACATTAATAGAACACGTTGTCACATGTTAAGTTTTACTTAAATTTTGCAAACTAGCAAAAATGTTGGCAGTCATGTTCTCAACAGTCCAGTAGTTGATTAATTATAATTAAATACAAATTATATCATTTTGTAGACAAAGCTAATTAGCCCTGTGTAAGCCTAGCGAAAAAACAGTTCTTAACTAACAAGGCTATTAGTGTTTATTGTCTAATGAATAGAATATACTGAATACAATTTGTATATTGGAGGAAATGACTGTCATGTTATCCGACATACGTGTATAAATATTGTAATTTAGGGCAATAGTTGTCATTAATTGAACAATAAGTTGATATGCGAGTAACTATTATCTAGTGGATAATATCCACAAGCACTAGCGTCTAGTACCACCCTCTTTCAAAGTGTCAAGCAAGACATCTTTAAAAGTTGTATTCTAAAACAAGTGCAACAATTACAATATCCTCTTAAAGTGCAGGCTGAATCTAATTGTTGTAATAGTAGTTTCCATGACAACCGAACCAGTCCGCCAGGTCTTTAGAAATGTCTTTATCTGTATACTTGGTTGTAACTGCTCTGCTTCGCCATTTTATCTTTACTGTTGTTAGCATTACCGAGCTACTTTAAAAGTACTATAAACAATTAATGTCTAAAAGTTGTTTCTTACTGCTATATATATTATTTATGTTAAATAGCACTTGATAGTAAATATACAAGATTATCGTATTAATATCATAACAACATAATTGGAAGTAAGCAATATGATAATAAGATAATAAATGTATCTAATTACAGCTTATAAGCTAACAATGTGACGTTTACTCTAGTAAGATGGTGCCAGATGAATAGTTAGTAATGAGTGAGAGTGACATAACGGAGGAGGAGCAGCGTAATGCGATCATTACCACCATCACACTGGACATCAGCAACAAGCATCTTAAAGAAGTTCCAAAGACTATTAAAAACTTTAGTAATATAGAGGTTAGAATTGTTCTGTTTTTTAAGGAAAAAGAACACACTGAACGAATAGCATATTATGGTAGACTGTGGTGTTTACGACCGATTGTTTGATTTAAAACTATATTTTACTACTTATTAAATAAATGTAGAGGGTCCCTTGGCCTTGTTTTCAACTACTATACTATCTGGAATCTGATATATTAGTGTGTTTCTTTCAGTTCCTGTACCTCTGCACAAATGACATAAAGTCAATTCCTGATCATTTCTTCACAAGTTTACCCCAACTGAAGTGGTTGGATTTCAGACATAACCTCCTCACCACCCTACCCACTTCCATTGGTGAACACAGGTGTGTTTACACTTACACTTCTTGCTTTGATACAGCTTATTTTATTACTAATTACCAGTTTATTATTTTCTTAGTTTGGTGGAACAAGCTATTACTTTGAGGTAAAATTTTTTGTATTTCTTTTGGATATTATTAACATAACTAATTTAAACTAATTACAACACTACATGTACAAATCTATTACATTTATTGACTATTATGTATCGTGATGGTAATGTTTTAAGCGGGTATAATATCCTGTCCAAACCCAGGATAAAAACATGAAGACTTGTTGTAACTTGTACGAAAAACATTAATATAAACCTTATTTCAGACAGTTGAGAACATTACTGTTGCAAGGAAACCAGCTGGCCACACTTCCTGTTGAACTGGGTGAGAATAATGTTTTTTACAATGCGCCTGTGAAGTGTGACTTTCACTTTTAAGTATATTATAGTATTGTACGTGTTCATACATGATACACCAAGACTGATTCGTATTACACAAATCATCCAATTAATAATATTACGTAAAGTCACATTTTGGTACCCTAGAAATTGTATCATATTTCCTATCAGATTACCTACCTTTAAATAAGCTAGCTCCACAGCTTTGAAATTTGTGTTTCTAAGAAAATACCGTACTTCGCTGTGCACAATATCGTCCATTATAATACTTGTAATCAATAACAAATTATTGCAATCAAAATGTAATGATTGGACTTAGAAGCAAATCACATATTAAATAATTTCCGTTTTGTAGCCTTATTCGTTGGGTCAGCATTTATTCAAAACGTTTAAATAACTACAACGTTAAAATAACTTAATTTCTAAATCTTTGGAATTATCTATATAATAGCTATGTTAAGCCTGACAGGTCTTTAATATCAGTAATTTTTAAAATTACTAAGTGACAATAACTGAACTCATATTACCCTATCAAATTACCATGGCTCCATAGCAACTAATCGAATGCATGGAGTGATCCTGAGATTATGTTAGGGATTATAATTTAAATGGAACTTTAACAGTTAAACAAACTAACATCTGTGACCAAGACACTGTTATTCCTAGAACTTAATGTATCTCCCCAGGAAATGTGCCAACATTAACTGGACTGAACATAGCGGATAATCCTATAGAATACCCGCCAAAAACCGTGTTACAAGAGGGGACACAGGAAATCCTAAAATATCTCCGACTAGAGTTACAGAGCGAAAGTCAGCTCATACCCGGTATCTTTTAGCTTATCTCTAAGCTTATCTGTTAAATTAAACTTGATAATTAATGACTTTTACATTTAACGTTTTTAATTTTTGATAAAATCGTTTAGAACCTGAATGATGAGATGAAATTAGTTACAATAAAACGTCGAGTATTACATTTCGTTAAAAGAACAAGTGTATCCTTTTTCAATCTTCTTCAATTTTAAAGATTTTAAAATAAATGATCCCAAACAATAATTCTACTTCTCATCTGTTTTTCATAGGATAAAGTTTTAGGTTTATGGTTTAGAAGTATTTAGATATGACTGTCCTAAATTTCTGTCATTTTAATTGAAAATTTCAGCCGACTAAATATATGAGTGGTATTTCAGTACCTCAGTAGGTAAAGCCTGTAATAATTATAAGATCACAATTTTACTTTGAATGTACTGCATGACGCACCATGGAAATGTGAAGCATTTCACAGCAATTCTTAAGGTTTTTAAAAGTATTATAAAATACGATATTATTATAAAATTAAGGTTCTTCTTAACACCCCTTACCACCACAGAGTTGATAGATGCACTGGAGGAGGTACACATCACGGAGAATGAAGGATATCTAGGTAGGAAGATAAGCAGCTCTAAAAACCATAACATTTCCCCCCAGAAACCACCCACCTGGGAGCTCTCCTACCTCCCATCAGACCCACCACCCTCCTTAACTAATCCTCGTCTTGCATCTCCATCCCGGCTGGGCATGCCCCGCCGTGCCCGATCACAAGCTTCCATCATGAGAATGAGGGGTGCGGTACGGAGCCCCAGTCCAGACCGACCACTGTCACCAGATCGTCCAGTCAGGAACCAGCGCCCCATTCCTCGGAGACCAGAGAGCACGGGCAGATTGTTCGAGTTTGTTCCCATGATAAAACCCAAGAAGAGCAGATGTACCAACATTAACAATGACACTCGAAGTAGGAGTAGTGACTTGAGTTTCCCGACCCAGGATTTGTATGTACAACCTCGACCTAAGACCAGTTTGGAGACTTTGCCCAACCCATCAAATTCTCGATCTCTCGCCAGAAATTCACGTGGAAATGTATTCCATAGCAATGTGAATGGATACGACAAAAAAGGGAATGGATTTCAAACCAGAAATGGGAATGGATTTGTTCACAATGGGAACGGATTTAAAAGCAGTGGCAGTAAACATGTTGTGAACAATGGAAATGGTATTAATAACCAGTATAACTATAACAATGCCTGGTCTGATAGTCATGTCATACGACGATCTATGTAAATTAATTAACGAATAACACGTGGTTACTGCTATCTGATGTGACGCACTTGATTTGCTGTGATTTTATTTAAGTTTACCTAATATTATTTGTAAAACGACCAGTAAAATTTTGTAAATATCACATTCTTGTAATATAAACCCTGTATTGTATGACCCTAATTTTTTGAACATGACTTTTTTAGTAAGCTTTGATGTAGTGGAATGTGTATGGAGTCAAAAAATGAAACGTGTAAATATCATAGAATCAGTTTAAAGAAATGTGAATTATTAAATAATAAATATTATGTATTTTTTCATCGTTTGTAATTGAGTTGTAAAGTGACTATATAAATGTTGATTTTCATAATTTTTCTAAATATGAGTTTTAATGTATTCACTCGAGTATCATTCAATATTAAAATGACAATATCATTTTAAATGAAATATTTACTCTCCATGTTGTTGCTGCGTGACAATACAATCTTACGCACGTTAAGAATTTATAATTAGAATTTAGATAGCATGCTTCGAGAAATTACTGATTTCAAAGTTAAGTAAGTTTGTCAAAATAATTCTAAAAATGGATTGGAAAATATGGCCAAAGTTTCACCTGACCAACCCTGCCATTTCATGCCCAATGTTTAAACATATTCGCTTAGTCCACAAAATATATTTTACCCCGATGTCTATCAAAAAAAATGTCCCTATAAATATTGCCTCCCTGTAAATATTGCCTTTCTGGTGGAAAGAAAGTTGAGATAAGGACCGTGTTATTAACGTCGTAATCCTAGAATAGGCTAATTCTAGAAATGAGCACCTGAATGATTAATATTGATTCTTGAATGAGCGAGGGAAGAAATCAGGGGCTCTAAAAACGTTTTATATAAGGGTGTCCCGTATTATCAGTATATTATATACAGACACTGTCTGACTGTTATAACGCTAAACATAATAAAATACGAAGGGAACCACGTGATGAGTTTGAAAGATATCTGCGTGGTTTATGAGATGGCAAGGTTGAGTCATGAGTGAAACACACTTAATATGAAACATGGAAATTGACGAGGTCCTTGAATCAGATCTGAATGCAATAACATGATGACTATACTTCAAGTATAAAATATGTAAACTGCCTCTGCAATACCTTATACCCGTGACCTCATATTAGCATAAGCCAGAAGCCTACCTAGTACATAATTCTAGTACTCTGTACTAAAGAACAATTGGTTAAATTTTAGCTACTTTTATGATTTTATCATAGAACCCTTTGTTGTTCCAAATTTAGGTAGGGTGTGGCGGGAAATGTTTCTATTATACCCTTTTTGGGTGGGGTATTGCTCTATTGCCGACTGCTGCTTGTTTGCAGGGTCGGGAGAAGATGAAGACGGCCGCGTGCTGGGTCCCATTAAGAGGATGAGTCGGAGAAAGAACAGGACACAGCAGGAAATACAATCTCCTCTTAACAACAGGTTCGTGTTTTACACATCTCGTTTGTGGTGATCTAATTTGTGTCAAAAGATTGTGCATGTGTACCAAGAAGTTGTAGACTCGTACATTTGTTTTGTTCCAAGAGCTAAGTTTCATGCTTGGTGACAGATGAAAAAAGCAGAAACAGCCAAAGCCCGCTTAACGTCAAAGGATGTGCACATTAAATCTTATCAAAAGGACTACAAAACTGCATGCTCGTCAAACTTCTCAGCTCTGATCTCCAATCAGCAGATTTCTCAGGAAAGAGCTGAATGAGATGTCAGTGATATGGCATCGCAACAACCAGGTGCTAAGACAGCTCAACCAGAATTCACGGTTGATGAATCTGAGACCCAACACTTGTCCCAAGATATCTGAATTGTCTGGTTGTCTAGTGACAGAACGCACTCTAATATCACGCAAGAGTTGCCGCTCTGACAAGGGCTTAGATGGGCTTGAAACTGGGAGCACTTTTATAACGGAGGACTGGAACAATGAGGAACATAACGAACCAGGGATTGAGGGTCTGAGGTTAATGAGCAGTACTCCTCGTACAGGAGCGGAACAGGAAGATGCCTCAATGTAGAATAATTTCTTGTGCTCTCCCGCCTAATAAAATATAAGGGCCAAAGCATGCAAAATGATACGTTTTTGTTTCATGAGAAAAAAGTTGAACCTAGGCAAAAAAATTTATTTTAACGACATAAAATATCTTAAAATTTTGCATGGTAGCTTTTATGTCGTGTGAGTTGTTCTGTAAGATGTTAATATCTAATGATTTATGCAGTGTGCATGGTAGATTGGGGGATGTTGATAACAGAATGTAATTTTCTTCAGTTCTTACATCTTAATAATATTTAATAACGTTTTCCATGCACGACATCTTGCTTTGTTCTAGGATTTTTTGCATGATTGATTCTCTTCGATTTTAACTATCGATGAGTATAATACATAGAATGAGATTCAAAATGTACGCAAATATAAATCAAATGAATTGTACCAGATGAATTTCACATTGAAACAGAAAAAAGATCAACTGAAATATAAGACGGCAAAAATCTCAAAAACTCAAAAACAAATATCTAAAAAATGACAAATTATCAATTAAAAGTATAAACTGGTTGGGTTTCAATCGCTAACAGTACAGGTCGTGATTTGACAAAAGACTTTAACGCCATTGAAATAATATATAATATAAGTTTTAATGAAGAGAGAAAAATATAAACAAAACAATTACAGTAGAACAAATCAGCGACACTGTGATTGCTGATATCACGATCTTTCGGTTTCGCCACCACTCTCGTTTGTTCACATCAATAGATACTATCTTAAAATCCTTTGTCTGAAGAAAACAAGAGGGATTATACTTTGAGGTTGAAGTATTATAGTTTCCGTTGTGAAAAATATTGATTTTGTTAATTTGGTTCTGTTGAATTAAGGAATTTGTACAAATAATGACCCCTAAGAAAATAAATACTAAGAATTACTCACGTTGTCTAGGAGTTCTCTTGTTTTCACGTCCATGGTCTTAATCAAGACTTCCCTGGAGAAAACTCTCCTGAGTTTTCTTGACATGATCCCCTTTATATCTTGTACTTGTTCACGTAGCAGTTTGATCGCACAATCTTCTTGTAGCTGAAACTCAGAAATGTTATCCTCTGTTTCCCTCTCCTCGTTTACTATGTCAAGCCTTGTTTCTCTGGGGGCCGAATCTGTAACCACTTCCTTTGTTTTGTTGTATTCGGCCTGGTTAAAATAGTTTAATTAAAGTTTGACGTCACGTGTGAAGTTAGAGTCTAATTTCGCTACCCAATAGAAATCTGCAACAAAACTTAGTACTTCAACTCACGAGACATGTGGTATTTAATGTGGTATTTGAACTCACGAGACATGATGACATTGTTGAAGAGAACTTTCCCCGTAGTCCATAAGGTGTGATATCTTTGATATTTTTGGGCGGATTTCCTATTATAAACTCTGCACCAATCTGTTAGGCAAACCCTTTTTAGTGATTGAAATAGTTTGGGAGTATGTCATGACGAACAATGTAAAGGTAATAGTGTTGTGGCCAACGCGAACTTCAAGTAAGAGCTGAGCTTTATACGGTGATTGAGACCCAATTTCGTATGATATTCTACATCATGAAATTAATTAAGGAACCTTTTCAAGATATCTGAATGATGTTTCAGTTGGAAAGTTTTCGTCTGCAACCACAAGGAATGTGAACCGTCCCCTTATAAGTACATGGAAGTGGTACCTGAAAGTGTAGTTTGAAGTTATACAGTATACAGTATACAGTATATACACACTAACACACTTTAGGACGTGTTAAATATGCCCCGTTCGGAAAGCAATTGTATTGAAGGAATAGGAGGATGCCCAATTTGTTAAATAATTTACTGAAAATTTAGCGGATGAAATACTGCTAAATACTGCTAAATTACTAAAACTCACTGCTCCCCCCGGTAAGTGTGCTGTTGGTAACGACCCTGTGTTTTGTCCAGAATCTCCTGTGTCACTACCTCCCAATTACCAGTTACATCCGCATAGTCTGCTAGTACTTTAGTTCCGTACGAGACACATGAATATAGGAGCGGCATGGTATCTAATTATGTTATAAATTAATTTTAGTTATCTGGCTAGAATCTAGATATTAGGAATTATTGGATTTATCAATTTGAAACTATGAAGGTTGATGCACAAGGTGTTTTGTGCCAAAATGTATGATTTGTACGTGATTTTTTGCAAACTGTGATATAATATATATACAAATCTGATAGTTGATACTGAGTATTGATCAAATTTAAAGTTTTTCTAGTGAATTCTTGTAAATTTAGAACATGGTAGCTGAGCCAAACTGAAGATTTTCATCTTTAAAGTGTAAATTCTTGCAACTTTGTAAGCTGATGGGGTTTTTAACCACTCGTAAAAGCAGCTTGTCAATGAAATATTTGGATTTAGACTCAGAGGTTCTTGATTTTTATGATCCTAAAATCTTTCGTAAATTTTCAGTGTTGTGTGTACTATTTTATTTTACTGAAAATACCTAAATATATATATAAATATTTCAGTAAAATAGATGAATGATTCTTTGTTTGTTTTGTTTTATGATAAAAGCTAGTTTCATTGCATACTAGAAACATATAATACTACTTTCTTGTGCCGCTTATTAAACAGGCACACAGCCTCATGTGACTCAAACTTGTAGGTGGTAAATATCGACTTACACTTACCGGATGTTATCTTGCATAAAGATTGAAGAATATTTCATGTTTATTTAAAATTAACATGAAATATTGTTCTTTTGTTTTAGCATCAACTATTTTTAGATCCGCCACTCTGTTACCTCGCAAGAAAGAAACTAGATGGAGTGCAAGTGACACGCTCATTACATCCAAGGTTATTGGGATGCAACAATCTTTATAAGTTCTTTATTATTTGGTCTATTTGCTGTAAAGCTCCTGGACGCAAACTGACTTTTACGATTTCGTTTTTAACGTGCTTGTCTGGTCACAAACGTGACTCATCAAATTTAGATATATAGCATGTATCATTCTTATCTTTAAGTGTATCACATTTCAAAAAACCAAATTTCAGCCAAAGATGCCAAAGCGGAGGAAAAAATTCAGATCAGCCAATCCAATTGAAAGAGTGAGACGTTCCGACCATTACATACAGAAAGTATGCATACTTTACTCCACATTCAGATAACTTCGTGAGCAATCGTGTATTAAGTTGACAAGTCTTGCATGTGTGTCACTATTTTTATCTGGTTCAGTTAGTGGTCGCAAAATCTATGAAAACTAATCTGGCACGTTAGATTTCGCAGGCAATTCAAGATTACGAGGAAAAGCGAATGCAGGCGATACGAAAGGAAGAGAATAGTCGGACAGAAATGATGGTTCAAAGAATGCGGTGTGTAAAATCTTTTCTTGAGTATCTGTCACCCTGTATGCTGTAAGATAGCTGATTCTAGATATTCAACTTCATAGCACTCCACAATCAACAATTCAATGCCCATACACGCGGTTTATAAAACTTGCAGGTGCGCGCAGTGGCTGCATCATTGATCCTTAGAGTCTGCGCATCATCCACGTACGGTCAATATGTTGAACGCCTGGTTTTCAGAGGCATTTACAATTATCACGTGCTGGCTTTGTTTTGGGGTTTTGTCTAATTGTCTCTATGTGCTGGGTTTTGTATATGCGGGTATTTCAGCGCACTTTGGCCACCTTCAGGGTCCTTAGCCTATTGGCTGGGGTAGAAACCCAAGACAGGTGGCATTGGCCATTCTTCCGAGTAACATGATAATGCATTTCACAACACCATTGCATATGCGATGAACTTCTCTTGTTATTTTGGACTTAATATATAACAAATATATAAAAAGATAATAAAATACTCCAGTATTTTGAATCAGTGTTTTCATCAGGGACAGGGATGCATTGAAGATGTGGCGGCAACAGTCAATAAGGCAAATCGAATCTCGTAAATCTGGTATAGGTGAGCTCCTTATTTTTTTGTATCAAACTCTTCAATTTAACTGACTTTGATTGTATTATTGAAATATCGTTCGACTCCAAACTATCCCGAGAATAGTATCCTCAAGGTCAAGTGAGAGGTCAGGTGAAAAGAAATTGAAGTTGAAGCGTCTTGAGAAGACTGCTACCAGCAAAACTAACTTGGAACATATCATCGGCTATATCACAACCCAAATAGAAGCTCTGAAACTTCGTGAACAACGACTGTGTTACGAGATAAACAATGCTAATGGTCCAGAATTGAAGAAGCTGAGAAGAATAATCGAGAGAAAACAGATTGAACTGTTGGAGATGAGGAAAAAAAGTTTAACAAGAGCACAATTATTGTGGTGACGTATTGTGTGCATGATAGCCAATATTTAAAGTGCACCTATTTTGTTTCTATTATTGTGAAGTACAATGTCACATTGTAAACTGGGAGTATTTGGATTCATTCAACTTTGGGGACTTGGAATTGCGGACATTCTCAGCTGATTTGCTGGCTGCAGTTGCCGAAGATCACTGAAGCTTTTTAGAGTTTATACTTTGGCATTTTATACTCTTCCCTGTTGGGACATTTACATTTTGCTACTACTGTATACCATATTAATTTATACACGCATAACGCATAATTTCAGACCACTCTATGCCCGATGCCCATATCACGCATTTGAACTGTCTTTTGAACTGTATTCTTAAAGTTTGTTTCTCGCCAGATATCGTGACCTTATCATGAAATATAAACATTAAGATCGACTGACTGATCTTGAAGATTGCAATTATCTGATTATTATTTTCAGGAGCGAGGGACGACAATTCTCAAGTTCTTCCGATGAAGAGAAACCATACCTTAGCCTCTATCAAGCCCATTGTAAGTATCATCTGCCTGTATATTTTCAGGTTGGTATCTTAGATCAGCGCTGTTAAACAAATTATAGTATCGAGTTTTTATCTATATTCTGACAAATTGTACTCTTCAGAAGCAAAAGGCGGTCTCAATGACCAACAAGGAGCTAGAACTGAGGAATAAGATAAAAGAGCATGCTGTCCGCCTTAAAGAGTATCATAATTCGGAGAAGAAGAAGCGGAGCGAGGCACAGTTGAATCTCGACCAGGTACCTCAGACAGCCCTTTTAAAATGGGGGAGTGGTGACTGGTGGGTTTTAAAATGATTATTTTCTATTTTGTATTAATTCTCAACTTCATTTATTGTTGCTTTCTTTTTAAAAAACGAATACATCTTGATTTTCTCTTCTTCGTCAGGCGCAGGATATTCATGACGAGATGAGACAACTGAATACGGAGTACCGATTTAGAGCCTTCACTGGAGAAACCGCAGACTAGCAGCTCCAGAGCTCCTTTGCAGAACAGTGCCACTTTTTGCAGTCTCATATATGGTTACCAATGAAGGGGACACTTCGGATTTTAACAATAGTATGATAACATCGACATTAACAGAAACATTGATAATCGAGTTTTATAAATATATGCAGTAGAACTGCTTTCAATGAAAATATTCACAGTTTAATGGAATAAGGACACTTAATCATTAATTGTTATCGTTATAAACATGATGGCCTATGCTGGACCGCCCTTCTTTAGGATGCAAACATAATTTTCTGCATGCTTTTACCCCGAAAATAGACCGACTTCGGACTTATAGTCTGACTTCATCAGTGTGCAGCATATTATACGGCAAACAAATAAAATATGCTTTGCACTCACACTTCGTCATAGGAGGGTCAAATCTGTTCATTAGATCGATTATAAGATTACACTATTTGAATACTGGTAGAAGCAGTAGATTATTCCAAATCGAAATGATAGTCTACTTATTACACAGGGATACTGATGTCATATTCATTGGCGAGATTATTTTCAGATCTGTATTTAAGTCACACATTTTGGTTTTTTAACGTTTGTAGTAGATGTACATAGAATTCAGCGCTGTAATTTATTGTCAATATTTCGATTCAAAATTATTATTCCAGCATTTTCTTTTGTTCAAAATTAAAATGTAAATCACTAAAACCTAGAACTGGAAAAAGATCTCCGATCTAAATTATCTTGATCACTTCTGGTCATATGAATGTCTCGTCCCTTTCCCGAACTGTTTCCAGCAAAACTTCTATTTGCATACGTAGTCGATTTAACCACTGGAACCGGAGTTTCCCTTCCTAAAGTCACTACAAACCTCCTAAAGTTGTTCATCCTCCAGATATAGATAACAGGGTTGAGGTTAGCGTTGAGGGCCACCCCCAGGATATAGACACAGCTCCAGGAGTACCAGTACAGGAACTGGGTGTTAAACACGCGGTGATACACGTGATTGTTCACAAACACTATCGTGTACAGCACACAGAGGACCACAACCGGGATGTTCAGCACGATGTAGAGGAGTGTAAAGAATATGATGGTGTTGCTGGCGTGTTTCTGTAGTTGTGAGGTTCTACTACCGGTGGCGGTGGTTGTCCTACTGGCTCTACTGTAGATGAGGACAGTAGATATGATGCAGGCTGTCAGTATGGGTAGTATCGGGACTCCAAGCTGGATCACGTCACTGTACTCCGCAAACCTTACATAAGACCCGTAACGTAGTCTAGCCCACTCAAAACAGTAGACACTGTCAGGATGAAAGGTGTATACTCCGAGTTTTGTGAAGGCGGGTATGAAGGATCTGCCGACACAGAACAGGGTGTAGATAGTCAAAATAAGTGCTACAATCCTCAGCCTGATATGTCTGAGAGGGAGGAGAAGGTGGAATGTTCGGGTTAGACTCAACACCATTACATACATGATGGAGAGGTACGGCAGGATTTCCCAGAGTGCGCCCCAGATCGTGCAGAACGTTTGGCTCCCGAACCAGGCTTTGTTTCTGTCCTTCAAGAAGCTAACTGACACTGGCAAAATGGTGAAGCAAATCAGGAAATCGTTGATGGAGTTCAGGAAGTAAAGTCCGTTGTAGAGCAACTTTTTGGAGGTTCTTTTATCCCTCCTGACTGAAATATCTCGTCTAACTAGCTTCCCAAAATACAACATGGTGATTGCATTGAGCGCGGAGCCACACAAGAAACAAGCGATGATCAGAACGGCTATGGTGGCGTCAAAGCCAGTGCTGTAAAGAGGTTCGAATGGTGTTGGGGAACGTGTTCCAGTCCACAGGCCATGTTCGACCTCTTCTTGATCTTGTACCATGGATCTGGAGTAGTACTATTAGAAGTAAAATTTTAAAAACCACTTGAGATAAAAATGTTATGGTTAGCATCGTTTCCGTAGACTGAATTCTATATCGAAATGATTCAATAATGGTTTAACGTAAGAGTTTGCACATCTTACACATACTGTTAGAAAACAGTCTACAAATAATTATAACCCAAAACTGTAACTAAAAGGAATTCAAATTTAGATGTAAGCTGCACCACTACAATAGTAAGATAGTTGGTGCTCGCTCATGTTCACATGTTGATGATCTGTTGCAATGAATTTGCAATATTTACCATATACCACTGATATAATTACCACTGGTTATATGGTAAATGTTGCAAACCAGTGAGGTCGGACTAAGGGAAAAGAACAAAGCTTACTAATATTCGTAATCTTACTCCCATCTCAGTCCGGTCCTATAGACTAGAATTACTCTTATGACCCCTAAATGGAGCGATCAAAGGGCGAATAATAATTCACGTCATGAACCACTTAGAACGGACCATGCTTGTCACTATCCAGTACATGCCATGTACAGTATCATAAATGAACACGTTCCTGTGCTCTTGAATCACCAACATTAAATTGTTAAAAGGAGCTCGGAATATCATGCAATTTAACTTCTGCAGAGCTCTGCTTGAGATTATTGAGCCTCAAAGTGGAAAACAAAGGACGGTGATAAATTAATATTCTCTCAGCTGGATCACTACTCTATAAATAAACTTAATAGAAATGTTATAGCTAATTCAACTGAAGTGCTAATTCTAACATATGCGAACAGAAGTGGTGCTCTAACTCGAGTTAGTACTACTTTAACATAATGGTCGCCAGATAGTTAGCAGTCCTCTGGTGGCCTAGCAACCCACTACAAACCCAGTTATAAAACTTGAAAACAAAGACTATTTAGCTATTTTTCGATGAAAAGTGTATCAAGTCAACAGATCAGGTTAGTTAGTACGGGGACCAGCTGAAAGTGAAAGTGAAGGTCGCTGTTCACCGTGTTCAGTGTTCACTGGATATAACTTATTGTACTGTTAACGTAGGAAACTGTGAAATGTGAGCTACTAACAAGATATTTTATGGCCCAATTGATTTATAAAAAGTTGCAAGCCAAATACTTGGTATAATATTGATTATTGAGTTGCGAAGCTTGGCAATTTTAAAATTGGATGTCTCAATCTCATTGTCTCTTTAAAGTTATGCACATTGCACAACATTTAAGAGAGACCCTGCATAGAAAAATAAAGGCCAGAGAATAATAAGTTATCTTGAATAAATGAAATAGATTCGACCCCCAAAATTGCTTAACGTATTATAAATCCACAAAATGAAGCTAAGCAAATCACAAACTATCATAAATATTATTAATTATTATGAATAATAAAGTATTAAGAATTAGCAAATATATTTAAGCTCTGAAATTTCCTTAATACGTATTTAAAATTCACCAAGTCCAGCAGAGTATCAGTAAACAAAATAATAAATGATGATGAATAAGTGAACTATATTCGACCTCTGATATTGCGTAACGTATTAGAAATTCCAAAAGGATCAGCTTCAAAGGGAGTAAGCTGGCTGTACCTTGGTGGAGTGTGTATAAATAGCTGTCAGTAATACTAATACTCAGCACTCAAAGTGTATTTAAATAAAACTGCATCATGGCAGCCATTCAGGTAACAGCTTGCATTAACAAAACTGATCATGCAAATACTAGTCCTACTCATAATAATATTAGTATTAGTATTAGTATTACAAACCAAGCTTATAGTTATAATAGTCTCACCGATTATCCAATGTACCTTATCTCGATTGACGGTAAAATAACTTTCTAAAAAGTGGCTGTAATATGCTAAAGATTTCCATGAATCTAGTGTAAAGATTCGCCAGATGGCCGTTCAAATGTATTTAAATTCTATCATTTTAGAAGTGCAGGAGTACTTCGTTAAAAGTTAAATGACAAATGATCAGGGTGCAAGGTAACCAGAGAGTTCTTGATACTTCCAATGAATTGCTCGAATAGGCAACTAATTCATATTGATAATTATCAGTCTTAAGTCTTAAGAGTTAAGACCTGGTCAAATAAGAATTAGCTGTTTATTTGGGCAAATATTCACTAAAAGTCGAAAACTTAGCTTCTGGAAGTGGAAAGTTATGTTTCAGATGAGAGACGTTCAATGTAATCAGATTTTTGATCTACCGAACGGCATAGTCCAACTCCAATAGTCACAAATCTAAAGACTCGAACCAAAATCGAAAATCTGAACTTATAATCTGGCTGACCTTGTTTGTAGATACCGGATGAAATTACCAAAAGGCGTGCATAGAAGCGTGAATATTTGACTTTGAGAATTACCCTAGCAGGTTCTCGGGCACTTTGTGATAAAATCATTACTTCGGAGTGAATTGTGCGTCGATTATTTAATATTTGGATAATTTCATTCCTTACCTCGACATACTGTCGTATTCCAACGGACGAGTATAGGCATAAATCTGATTCATCAATTATTTTGAAAAGTAAAATCACATTAAAAGGGCCATGCCAAAGTTTGATAAAGTTTACTTGAACTTGAACTCAAAAGCAAAACTGTTTATTCTGGTTTGCTGAATCGGTGACTTAAGAATTCGATAATGTAATATTTCGACCGTGATACGGAAATGTTCATCATAAAACTTAATTGTAGATTTTTAAAAGTACCGTAAAATATCGAATAAAAAATCATCATCAAATATATAAATTTGATTGGCAACCATGTCAGCTTAACCTGGTCCAAATAGTCAAATGGTCTTATCTGGAGACCTCAGGCTTTTGTGTTCATATAAAACACCAATTGAAGATATGGCGGAATGACAGGCGGAGCCCCGCCCAATCAAAATATTAAAATAGCAAATCTGTAGAACAAGATCCGTCCACAATACAAATTCAATTTCATTATAGAATTTTGTAAATTGTCCGCACCTGCTTCAGTGTTTATTGGATTGAACTATTTTCGGTGTTCATTTCATAGGAGCGAGTCAAATTTCTTATCTCTTTGTATTCCGCTGTACTGTGCGATTAAATTTAAGACCAACCTACCCATGTGGCTAAAGCTCTAATATACAAAAACAATACATGCGATGACAATTAACTACAATTTAGAGTAATCCCAAAATAAAAAATTACTTGGCGGCGCTCAGCCTGTCATTCGGCGGCCATATCTTCAATCTTGAATTTTTACAATTGTGCTTATGAACACAAAGGCCTGAAGTCCCCAGGTAAAATAAAGAAACGATGTTGTGAGATGTAATCTAGGATCTGCTTACTATTTTATTTGATCACACCAAAAATTTCATTTGTTTAAAGTTCAACATGACATTAACTTCTAATATTAATTTAGAACTAGTGAATTGAGGACTATAGTTGAAATGCTTAAGTCAAAAATCTTTTAGTAAACGTTTTCTGTATGAAGCAAAATAAAACAGGGACTCGCACAAAAACCTGGCGGCATAATATTTTGACGTTAGATATATCTTTAATTTTAAGTTTAATACGATTGATTTATTTATTATTTTAATACTTACTTTAATACTAAAAATTGAAACAAATTAACAATTGATCCGTCGCGTTGCATGCTGAAAAACGAACAAGAACAATGCGATTATGCCCTTATGAATCCATTATTCCTATCTTGTTAAATTTTATTCTGCACTAATAACGAGTACACATTTAAAGTGTTTGAAAATATATAGGACTAATGGTCAAGCTGATCTTTAGTCGTCGTTTCCATAGGAGCGTCCCGACTCAAGCATGGAAAACCTCATACTGCAGGGGAAATATTGTCCTCAATATAGTGCGGAGGTATAATGAATACTGAAGCAACCTAGCTCTGACTCGGACTATTCTGTATAAACACGATTGGCTCACTCTGTAGTGTTATTGGTATACGATGGTTGAGGACGATATATTGCAGCACTTAGTGGTGCTGGGCTAATGGTGGCACTTAGCAGGATTTTGAGAGATCAGACAGGATATCAGCTTTGTCATCTAATTATGAATGGGATATAGAGGGATAGTAGGGATAATAGATTAGTCTGCATAGATGTACCCTCGTAACCCTCGTGATCACAATGGTGTGGATGATGGTATTGGTGTAGAAGTGATGTCATTATTTGGCTCTGTAAATACTCCAAGATCAAGGGAATTATCAAACTGTTGATTGGCCATAGCATATTTATATCGATAATAATTGACAAAGCCACAAATCAACACCAGTTATAGGGATTACGGTCAACTTCAACTGAATAAATTTTGTACATCGATCGAAGTAATAAGTCCTTTTGTGATATTTGTTAAAAGTAAACAGGTGTATTGGTGTTAAACTTTAAATAAAATCAAGTTTCTCATACATTTTTAGTTAATTGAATCTAAGCGATATCGCAAGTGTCATTATTATACTGGACACAAATCTTTTAACTGAAAGCCATTGACTGAAATTAAATTAATAACGCCACTCAGCTTGTAGTTGAGAAAAGAGGTTGAAAATAATGTTATCTACTTAATAACTTGAGATTAAAAACTTGAAAGTAAGCACATAATATTAATCGAATATGCAAGTGCTCGCTTTTCGAAAGCCTCAAGAAACGGATAGTATCGTGGATTATCTGGTTGAATTAACGACTCGTTTTTAGTGCTTGTTTTAAACTCCGACCACAACCTCAGCAACAGCCAGCAAAACCGAGGTTTCGACCTACGTCTTCATTTTTCGACAAGTATAGGAATTGTAATGTTAAATTATTTTCCCGGCATTGCTAGTCTATCAAATACTTCTTTAGATTGCTTTTCTTGTTTTGAAGACTCGACTATTATGTCGGTTAAATCTTTGATGTACGTTTTAATCTTTATCAACTGATCGTCGACACTTTCTGCTTCCTGAAAATGAGTTATAGTTCGTATAATATCGATAAACTTTAAGTGTAATTACCGTCAATAATATTAGTCTCAAACTATTGCTGTGTAAATTAATTTGCATAATATCTGCTCAGGTCCAATCCTCAAACCTTTGCAGGTATCCCCCTTTGTTTGTATATCTGAACATAGATATTCTCAGTTGCCATCTTGACTCTGCCGAGTAGCAGAACGTTCCTTGCGGCTGTGTTCTGGATATGCGTCCACAAACTTTCCCACTTCTGGTGATTAGACATCGCTGTCTCTTTCCTCCACTGAGATTAAAACTGCTTAAGAATAGTGTTGAAAACACGTCGATGATATTTTGGGTTGTCTAGATATTTTACTTTTGATGCTGCATCATTGCCTCCCCATTAATTGGAACTTGGTAGTTCCCGAAATACGTGTAGTTTGACATCAAATTAAATATTTTAACCCACGTTGGTTTTTAATCAAATAAAGATATCTTCTTCTAAGTTATTTACCGTAAGATCAGCAATGATGTTTGTGTATCTCATGGTGGCCTCGTCATTCTTCGTTATCATGGTGTAGTACTCCTGTTTCATCGAGTCCAACCTATCCGTCATAACTGTGGACTTTTCTATCATATCTCCCAGATTGGATGACAGAGTGTCGTGCCTGATAGGAAATGTCTTCTATCAATGCGTGAAATTTCAATAATGTAGGTACTTAAAGGTTGACGACCGATTTTGGAATTTTTCTATTTTTAAACACGTTGTGTTCAACTCTGCGACAAAGTTTTACCAAAGTAAACCATGAATAATCAGCTCTTACTTTCTTAATATATCTTTGAGCTCCTGGAACTCTCCAGACTTTTCTATAACTCGTTCCATGTAACTCCGGTACACTTTCTCACGCTCCGACACTTTTCGTTGCTTTTCCAAAAAAGACGTCAGCTTCTCTGGTCGAAAAAAACTTAAAGTTTAGGGCTTTAAAATGAGAAAATCGATTCTATCATTCCTTTGGTTTCTAATTGGTTTTAAGTTTAAAAAATAACAGTGGAATGAGTTTCATCTTCTTGCGAACATTCAGCACGATCACGTCGGTTAGTGGCCATAAACGTCAAATTAACCACAGCTTGAGACTTTCTTTTACAATTAAACCACTATTATAACCGCAGTAGATGGTGTTGGCTGATTTAAAGTCAAGAGTTAATGACGATATAATTATGATTTCTTGCCAGTTTTCAATCAGGTACAGTTGCCATGCAATAAACACACGATCTTTCTGAGCATATAGTGATCACTGCTCATCTATTTTAATTTTTTAAATGCAATTGTCACAGAATGAAACGTCAATTTACAGAATGAAAAGTTTTATAGAAGTTGGATTGTTGTGTGGTCATGGTGTCTCTTTTAAACATCGTTCTTTGATTAATAAAACGTTATTATTGTGCGTGCATGATGTTTACTCCAATTATTTTGCTAGGTGGCTCTGTACAATCAATAATGCACGACGTCCAATTTGTAAATATGTGAAACAATCTCAATCTGATTTAGATTGATGAGACCAATATTCGTAAACAGTTTATTCGATCTTTACACTTTTACAGTCCACTTTACCAATGTGAAGGTTTGATACGATCGTTACACTGCATTCACAAGCTAAAATCTTAAAAGAAGCATGATCATGTCAATCTTTTAACGTGGTGTTTGCAGTAACTTGTAAGATTATGGATGGATGAGCTTGTTCTCAGTGGTATACTTTATTTACAGGGGACGGCATTTGGAGAAATTCTACAAATTTTGTATAAAATTTGAAAATTATACTTTGGTCTAGGAAGCACAGTCGCCCTATCAGGTGACTACAATTGTAGGGGCTGCAAAACAAGCACGAGTAGTAGCATGAAAGTGTATTCCAATCAAATGCTAAGTTGACGAGACCCGGATAGGTAGTATTTCTGCAGGTGGCTGGTTATTGGGCGGCGCTCAGCCTGTCATTCCGCCTAATCTCTATGTTTATGAACATTATAGCCAATATTATATGGAAACAGTTAAAATGCTATTAATATGCTGGTTGACTGCTTGATGCCAGTCATACCAGTCAGGACACAGAACCTGTACATTTTTTGTTCCTCTCTAAATAAATTTTTTGTTCCATCTCTAAATAGTTTAATGAAACTACAGAATACAGATACATTTTTGATCAAAATATAATATCATGTTACCTCTTTCTGCCATCTTCGCTTCTGCTTCTTCAACCTTTTGCTCTTTTTCCTGTCTTTCGTTGTTTGCCTTCTTTTCAGCCCTCTGCTTCTTGATATCCGTTTCTATGAGGAACTGGTTGAACTTCATGAGTGAGCCTCTCAGACTTAGCTCCTTCTTGTCCAATTCTTCCCTCCTTGAGTTTAGAGATGCCATTTTCATTTGGAACGCCTCTTTTTGTGCTGATAGTGCCTGGAAAGATGGGTTACAGATATTTATGATTAATTTACGTTGAATAATAATGTTAACGATCTCCGGATCTCTTGTGAGAGGAAACCCTCATCTACTTTCGGTACCTGTTCCAACTCGAGCATCTCTCGCTTCTTCTCCAACAGCCTCGTAGCAGCTGTCATGTGGTTCTCCGAGGCATCTGGGTCTGGGATGGAAAGTTTGCAGGATTAAGGTTTTAATAATTTAGGACAATCCAACGTTGGGATGTATAAACTGGTTTAGGTTCAGAATCAAGCTCACGAAAATCAGCGGAAATCAATCTTGGTAATTTTGTGTTTATATGAACGTCTATCAAAGACAAGAGGACTTTTATTCCGGGCAATCGCCAAAAATGTTGTCAAAACTTTGTACCACAATTCTTTATATTACTAACCTTGGAATAGCCGTTCAGAGAACTTGGATTGAAAATACTCTTCAAAGTTGAAGGCTGCCATCTTCTAGATTTGATATCTGGCAGACAAATATACAATATTTTTAGTTGTACTTACTCTCTAAAACAAACTTCTCCCAAACACTGGGATGTCTTTTAAAAGTTGTGTTTACCAATTATTTTTAAAATTTACTGATCTCGAGCAACAACAAATACAGCAAGAATAAGTGAAAAATGTCTAAACGGCTCCTTCGTGATCGGCAACGATAACATGATATAGCGGAGCAAACAAGTGCACTATTGGTTTATGTTGCATATATTCGAGCAGTGCATGCGACGGTGTGCAGTTTAACACGAGCTGTAGGACCCTCTGCATGATTTTCTTATCGGGAACTTGGCTGGTCACATCGACTAACTCTCATCATTTTCGGCCGGAATTGCGGGATTATTTCACTTTGTTTGTAAAGTTTTAAATACCATTGTTTTATATTGCTGCGGTTTTCGGTGACGATAATTTCATAACTAACAGCATTAATAACCAAATATCAGTGTTGAGCCCATAAGCTTGGAATTTGGTCGCTGCCATTTCGAACACCTTGATGAAGATGAAAATTATTTACCACACTTTAAGCGCTGGATGTGACTTCAGTCAAATTACCCTCACGAGATGGTTTCTCGGTAATTATACTAAACTATTGCTGGTCTGTTCGCTCAGCACAAGCTGTGCAGGTGTGAAAACTAAAACAAATGCATAATATAAATGTGAATTTGTTGAACTGCGTTTTCAAACAATATGAATCAAATGAACTTTTTCGATCCACCGGATATATCAAGCATATTCATGTGACATGTCAAAAATGTTATTTGCAGCACGCACGGCCTATTACATATTGTTCAATCCAATTTCATCTTCGATATTGATTTCTTATCCAATATCCATGTCTTAGACTCAGTCCTGATCAGTATTGAACAAATGAAATGTGTTCGACATTCTCGATGTGAACTTCAACTTCATCTCACAGACCTTAATTTGAGTAGTTCAGTGAAGATGCTCCACCGACCAGCTACCACACCATCAACACGTAACAGCTTCCCTCTTCAAGAATGACCCTTAATACTCTTCATACTCTTGTTAAACTTAGTAATGATTATGGAGATGGGTATAGTCATGATGGTCAGGTTAACAATTGTGTAGCACGCAGCCAGGATCTTGCCGAACTCAGTCCTGGGAACCATATCTCCGTAACCCACTGTCCCGATAGTAACCACACAGAACCACATACCACTAAAAGCGCTGTTAAACTGAGCTGGATTCGATGTTGGCTGGTTTGCAATCGGCTTACCAATTAGGTTAACATTTAGGTTACCAACTAGGTTACCAACCATGTGATCGGTTAGGTTACCAGTTAGGTTACCACTAATGTCACCAGTTTGGCTACCGATGAGCTTGCCAGTTAAGTTACCAGCCAGGTTACCGTTCAGGTCACTAATAAGTGTACCGTTAATGTTACCAATTAGGTCACTAGTAATGTAACCAGTAAGGTTAGTAGTCAGGTTAGCAGCTAGGTAAGCAAGTTGGTTACCAGGTAAGTTTCCAATTAGGTTACCAATTAGGTTACCATTTAGACTACCAATTAAATTGCCAGTTAGGTTACCAGTAACGTTACTGGCTAGGTTCCAAATTATGCTAGTAGTTAGGTTGGCGCTTAAGTTATCAGTCAGGTTTTCATTCATGATGATGTTGTCAGTAAGATTATAAGTGGGGATGACGAGGTGTCTGCTAGGGTCCCGCTCCACGAAATAAATGAGTGGTCCGAACATAAGGACCCCTATACTCCACATTAAAAGAAGGAGCACGATCTCCGGGATACTCGTCATCAGGAAGTGGATCATCGTCTGACTTCCGGGGGAGTGTCGGAAGAGTTTCAGGATTCGGAGAAGACGGATTAAACGTAGAACTCTGAATCCTCCGACCTTGAAATTGTTCATAGTTAGCCTCTAAACTTTAAGTATGGTATGTTAAATGGTATAGGGTTGGTGGAACAAATAAATGGCAAAACAAAAGCTCAACATCCTTCTAATGGGAACCAACGCAAATGTTAGTAGTAAATAGTACCTGCTCGAGGTAGTCTTTAGCAATTAGTTTCAGATAGAAAGGAAGGATGGAGATAATATCGATCCAGTTTGTGGCGCTCGAGAAGTAAAGTTTCTTGCTAGGATAGACTGTGATGAGGACCACAGTCTGTATCGTAAAGTAGACGTTCACAAACACTTCTATTCCATAACAAACCTGAAGATTCATGTCACATTTAAGGTTCATGTCAAGCAATTAATTTTTGTTTTAAATACTTGTTATAAATTTCCTTATAAAAATCACTGAGAATGTACAAAATGAACAATTAAAAAATTATTTATTTTTTAAAGATTTTGATCCTTTAACCATCATAAAACATACCGATTCAAACATGTAGTGTCTTTTTAGCTCCTCCACTGACTCCAATACCAGCACAATAGTGCTGATAATGATCATCAACAGATCGAAGATAGCATAAGCGGTAGCTAGTCTGGAGTACCCTGGAAACTCAATATGAAGCAGTATCTCCTCTCTCCTACTCTTCGCTTTGTACTCCCTCAAGTCAGCCACTGGGGCAGCGTTCACTTTGTGAAGGTAACATTCCAGTCCGTAGAACTCTAACTCTGTCTGGAAGTTTGGGATCATTCAAATTTTATGTAAGTAGCTTAAGCTGGGTTAGTGAGTTTGAAAATGTTCACGCTAGGAGGTGGGGGATCGTATCTGAATTTTTGAGAGTACTGTTAAAATGAAGTTGAATTTTACTTCATTGTGTAAACATTTATACGGGATAATTTAGGTACCTCAAAAACATGTTTAGGTATACAAGGGGGACAAATGAGTTCCTCGTCGTTAGTGTAGAATCTCATCACAGCATTGAACACGTGTTTCTGTTTTTCTAGGAAGTATTCCTCTCTTGATTCGACGTAATACTTTTTTATCTGACTGGAGCCCAGTAAAGTTTCAGGGTATGGTTCAAAAACTGAGAAGTCCACCAAAAATTGGGTCCCTGATACGTTTATTACCTGAAAATAAAATAATTCATGGGTTGCTATTATGTTGATAAGTTTGAAACCCTTATAACTTCGTCTGTTTTTGCATTATTTTAATTTCAAACAGTGAATGGGCTTTGAAGATATGCTCAACTGTAATTACCTCTGCGTTATTCGAGGTTTTTGTCAGATCGTTGTCAGGGAATATATCCGCACACTCTGCAACAACATCCACGTCTCTACACACACCGTTTTGGTAGTCGGAAACGTCCTCCTTCCATGATCCAGAGTCATCAGACGGCGGTTCTTCCTGCTCCCTTATAAAGAAATTTAAGCATTAACATTTTTAAAACATTATATTTGAACAATTTACTGAACTGATAAACTTGTAATATTGTCTCCTATTTATTATCATAAATATCTTAACGACTCAAACATATAACTGCGGGTATGAGCACCTGATCAGTTTCCAGTAGATCTTGGAGTTGACTTTACCGATATAGCTCGGTTTCCCCAGCAACATATCCAAACAATCAGGCATATTTTTATTGTTATGACGGGACAGAAAAAAACTTAAATTTCTGTCTGGCAACGAAAAATGACCAAGATCCGTTTTAATGACGGAAAATGTGGATGCTGTACAGTTGTAAAGTTATAAGTTATAATTATCAAACGTATAAGTATAGCTATAATTTACAGGTATACAGTATAGCTATCAAGTATAAGCCGCCGAAACAGGCCTCATTTTGCGTCTGGAACCAACCAGTACTGAACATTAGTATACGGACTAGCGGCCGAAATGTGGGGCTATTAAATCATTAGCTTATGACTGGTTACAGGACTCTACTGTGTAGCTGCCTTTATCACTGACACAGACTGTTTATTGTCTTTAATAACCACCTATAATTTGACTGAATATATGCAGGCAATCAAGGGGCACCCTGGGCCTGGGTAGTGGGTATGCAGCTACAATGAAACACCGCCATTCACTAGATCTATTATCTAACGGTTTATAAATAGTTATTAAAGTTAGGGTTTGCAATCCACCAGGGGACGTTTAACGAGATACCATGTTAATGTCATTGTACGATTAAACAGAAAGGTTTTAAATAAATCAGAGACCAAAACTATTTTACTATTTTACAGAGCACTTTAACAGTTTAACTTACTCGAGTACCAAATGAACAATGTTCTGAAAACAGTTCTCCTTCCGGTCAAATCTCATCCATCTCTTGTCAGCTATCGCCACATACCGTTCCCTGAGTTTCCTCACTTTAGTCCTGGGAAGGAGGGGGCAAATAACACAAATACAATGTGCTCCTCAAAGTGCAGTTGAGTTGCATCATCGATTCATCATGGCAATGATGATGTTGGTTACCATAATTGGCAGACTAGATAACACTTTAACACAACATACTCGAAAGTAATGTTTTACATAATTTCCCCCCGATAAATTTGCGGTTTTTCAAAAACAATAACATCAAGAACATTGCTCTTGGGAATTTCATTTTCTGAAATGTTGAAAAGGGCGTGGTGAAGATCTATTAATCTTCAAATTGCAAATCAGGAATTGAAGCATGACACTTGCTAGATAGTGCTAGTAGACCCAAGATCTGTAGCATGTCTCTGTTATCAGCCGAAACGTTAGTGCACATTGACTTTTGGGCCATTTTATTAATATTACGGCTGGTGTACCTTAATTCAAAACTGTTTTTCCGAAACCCTTTATTGAAACCAAGCTTGTTCCGGATAGAGTTATTTATCTTTTTTCTGTAATGTTCATGGAGTTTGCTACTCATTTTAACATGAGATCTATAAATTCGATTGGCTCACTGAAAATTGGCCCTGCAACGAGGCCTGGGAAAATTACAAACTTTACTGCGACATAAAGTTCGACAAACTTAACATAAACGAGCTCTGCAGTTCTTAAAGATGACCGCACTAATTGCTAGTAACAACCGCACCCATAAGTGACGTTAGTCGCAATTCCACCTAGTACCTAGAGTCTTATCTTGTAATGTTATTCATAGACAGCTTCTGAGGAGTGAAGTATGTATTCCTAATCCTATCGCTAAAACAATAGGGACCACTCGTAGACGGCAAGGTAATTGGTTTTTAATTGATCTTAGATAAAAAACAGAAAATTATGATTGACTCACGTTGAACTGATTATTAACGGCATAATTCTCGAGCCAAATCTAAGGGAAATATTCAACGACGGAACTTCATTGCCATGGCGACCTATTAAAATCGACCATTCAAACCGAAACTTTCGAGCATTCAGTAAAGCAAAAGAGGCAAAATGTTTTTAGTTTAACTTTAAGTGCGTTTTTTTCGAATTGGGATAATGCAGCTCAGTAAATTGATCAATGATTGGAGCCAGAATTCTAAAATGTATTACAATTAGATGTCCTAACTTTGACGCCTCTCGGAAACACAAATAAGGGAGACTAAACAACATGAACAAGCTGAAGCCAATTGACATTGTTTTAGAAGTTAGCATGATTATTGACCGGTGTGGTTGTTAATCTGTTGGAATATAGATATCCGGCCTGCTTTCTCCACTAAACTGCACCTCATTTACAATAGCACATGCTTTTTAGCACTTAACAACATGCAAATAATGTCATTATAGCATTATGATCTTCATCGGGACCGTTTGAAGTATGACTTAACAACAGGGTAAACGGAATACTTGCGTAGTTTTACATGAGAAATACCTAACCTGGTCTGTCAGAAATTTCAGTGAAAGCCAAACCCCTCTCAGAAATTTCTAAGCACAGACTAATCAAACCCAGTCAGTCTATTTTTGACACAAGGTCAAGTTAACATAAAAAGGTGCAAAATATCAGCGGGTATTTACTTACATTTTGGGTAGGACCTGCTTGGAGGGGTTTTTCCTCACTATGGGTCTCCTATACTGATCAGACGCCTCAACCTGAACCCCAAGGTTCTGCAGCTTCTTGTTGGCCATGCTGGTTAACTCTGTCTGCATGTAGAGTCCCCCGGCCGCTACGCTTCCAGCCGCCATGCTGATCTTGTCCTGGACCTGGCTAACCCCGGGGAAGAGTTAGCAACACCTTGTAACAAACACTAAAATACAAAGATATATTGCCAACCTGGCGGTTTGACCGTGCTGTTATCAAAGTGATACAGTTGCTAGCCTAATATGTAGCCTTGTCTGGCCTAGATAATAGGATACGTCAAATGTAACAATTATAGAGTGGCGGTGACAGCTAGTTTCATAGGTTGGCACATCATCCCAGATATAATGTGTGGCGGTTGGGTTGGAGGGACTACTACACAACATGACGATCACCAATAACAGCAAAGCAGCAGATGTTATGGAATAAAGTATTGACAGAGACGCTCTTTGTCTAGATTACGCACGACACGCGTGTAACGATGCATGTGTCCTGACTCCCGACCAGCCTCCATTGGGAAAGCAAGATATCCAGCACAAAGGATATATGCTAATACCTCCATCATGTAGAACATATGCTAATACCATTATTAATACCAATAAAACAGTATTATCTAAAGAAGACCAGAGCAATTTTAGGACCTAGATCTGTGTTAAGCTGAAAGAGTGGATGAAGTGTGGGTGACTCCATTGTTCTGCAATTATAGTCGTGTTTTATCACTTACAAACCTTCACACCCAGCACAATAGTCAATACAGAGTTGTGAATAGATAGTAGATCTCACTTTTGGAGATGTCTGTATATTAAATATTACGTCGCACTGTGTACAGTATAGCTAAACACTAGTAAATGTTATTATTAATTCGCTACATAACATACATTGTTAAGCTGAGAGATGCCTGATGCAATTGATGGACAAAGATTTATGGCAAGATCAACTTCAAATTGAGCTGGAAAGAGACAACTACAAATTGAGCTGAGAAGAAAACACTTTTCTTCGTTTGTAATTCTTGAATTAAGATGGTGCCAGTCTGCTCTTCTAAATCCTATTGACAAATAATTAATGAAAGAAGACAGGTAGAGATCTGCATTGTATTCTTATTATTAGTTCATCAAAACAATGGAGAACAGTTTTGTTGAAACATGATGTATTATGGCTGTTATTATAATGGCTGCACCAATTGTTGTTGGAGAGTGCGTATTAGATGTCAACCATGTAGGACGTAGGTAAGTACTAAGTAAGTACACGACGGGCATGATTTTGCCTTTGAGATAAAGTTTAAAATATGAAGTATCTGCATCACAAAATTTACTTAATTGGCTTAAATTTCTGTCTTGATAATTATGAGGAATTTAACGATATAAACAGCAATACAAGTAGACAATCCACTAAATTAATCGTTTACGTTATCTTTGTTAGTTGTTATAGATTCAGATACTTGGTACTCGGTTGGAAATGGCTGACGGAAAACCAGAACGGAGAGGAAGTCTCCTCGGCATTCCTCCACGTGAGTAGACATTGAAGTATTAACATTAGCAGTAACTTAGTTTGGTGCTTCACTCGTAATAATTTCTTAAAACGTGCAGCAAGTTCTTAGAATATAGAATGTTGGGCCAACAATGAAAAAACAACATAAAAGTTAAATGTATTACTTACAAACCAGTGAATGTTCCATCGGTCTTGACATGATATCAAAGAAATTAATGAATAAAATAAAGTGGTCATATTTCGGCTATAATTACAGCTATGAATGGCTCCAATTGACAAGGCAAACTACCTCATGTCATATCAAAGAAAACGATAATTCAAAAGAAGAGGACATAAAACAGCTGATGAATGCATAATTATAGACATGAATTGTTCTAATTTTATCATCGCCCAAGGGAATTAGGGAATGATCCATTTGGTTTAGAAATAATATGGCCTGACTCGGCTAGTTTTAAGTTAGAGTTGTATTATCTTCCATGAATCAATTCTATTTCTAGCTTTAACTTTAATTTAATTGAAAAGATCAAAAGATGGATATCTTAAAAATTTACAGACTCGGAAAATGATCTGCAAAACGTTCTGGCAGGCCACCAAGTCAACGTTATGCAATATGCATATAGAAACTGTAACTTAACTTTGAACCCGGAAGTTTGTGATTTCGAATTTATAGCGTTCTAGTTGGCCATTACCTGATTTACAGGCCATAATGCTTCATTAACCAAAGATATGGAAGAATACCTTATAGCCGGAGTAGGTAAGAAACAAGCTTCAGAGCACAGCAAATAGTCTGGAAATGGGATATGATAGCTAGCTCTTATGATATCGATATTCCTGCACAAGATAGAGCAATTATCAGCGAATAGAAGTAGAACTCCGTTCTGTGTAATTGAGTAATTGAGTAATTGTTTAAGTACTTATATTACATATTACATAAGTCCGAGTCAGACGCCATCTATGTCGACTAATGTTATAAATTGCTGACCTGCTGGTCATCACGACTAAGAGTTAAATACCACATACTATTCTATCAAGGACGTGTGTTCAAAGTGAGTCAGAGCTAGTGTTGTATCAGTGCCACTCAAAGAGTGATCAAATTAACTGCAAATTAATGTTTTTTTGTAATACTATATCTTTATTTCTTGTACAATGACATGCAATTGAATTATTGTTTTATTGAAATATGTGTTTTGTTGCACATTTGTTACCTTTAGATGAACTTATGTTAAGTTGTGCATCATTATTGAGTCTCCTTTATTGATTCTTTCATTTCTGGCCTTGTCACAATGTCACATTTCTCCTTGCTCGATTGCATTATTCGGTGATCTAGATCTGTTTGAGGTATCACACAGTAGGTGGTTCCATTTCCATGTTGCGGAGTAATCGTAATTTTTTTTAGATAAATCATTAGTGCACTGGCAAAATTTCATGGTAAGGGATCGTTTACATAATCATATTGCATAATGATTTTTTGACCAATCTTGATCATCTCAATTCTCAGTCAGCATCAGGGTACCACGCACTATTGTAACTGCACGTTTTAGAGATATCTCTGATTTCTCCTCGAGAATTTTGATCTTAAGCGTGATCACAATGAGTTTTTTTTTCATTTTTGAGAAAATGCACAGAAATAGCCGTAGAGATATATGTTAGCCTTGCCTTTGAAACTTTATATACTTAATATATACTTAATATGTTCGCTTTTTTGGAAATATTCTCAGGGCAGACAAGGCTATCGTTAAGGGAGCCTTCACCTGCCTTGCCCCATTGCTGGCTATACTTGGCTGAGTTTTACACATTGTTATAAGAATAAGATAATATGATGTGCTCATTAAGAAACCAAATCCTTCCCTCCCCCTCAGCGATTACAGTTTACGTAATATGTGAACGACCCCTAAGTTCCAGTTTTATTCCCGGTCCCGGCACATTTTGCCAGTCCCGAACCTAGTATAGGAAAAAAGTGGTACCGGTCGATCTTTGAATAATGGTAAATGAAACAATCGTCAAACAATTATTTTTAGTGAGCAGAGGCAACATGTACGTACTACGTGCGGTAATATTTTGTAAATAGTGCGATTCCGCACCAGCCCAAAACTGTTTAAGTGCGGAAAATTTGGAGAAAAAAAATGCAATTGAGCTGAACAATTCGCCAAATTTGCAGACTTGAATTATTCCCAGGTTGAATTATTCAATTCAGCGTAGCATATAACGTTATAACGTTGCCTTACTGAGTTACAGTTTGAATTTGAGTTAGTGTTACACTACAATTAAGTTACAAGGTGTCTTACGTATTACTAATACGTAATGTTTAGCTCTCACCGGGTCATCTGGCACTTCACGATGTGTACACCTATATAAATATAATATTGATCCCCATAGAAGGTTTTGAAATTATTGTTATTTAACGATCATTATTTTACAATTATTATCATTTTACTATCATTATTTTACAATTAACGGCCGATAGTGCAAAAAAAAATGCAATATTGGGTCAATAACACGATTCCGCACCCACTGCAATTGTTGCCTCTGTTAGTGTTAGTGAGTATAATATCCGGAAAAAATCAGAAATTGTCTTGCAAAATCTTTAAAAGACTTCTCCGTTTGAAATAGATGGAGCTTCTGTAGCTCTTTATAAAGGCAATCTTTTTAGTTTCTCGAACTCCGTGAAAAATATGAAGCTCTCTTCTGGACAAGTATTTCTTGGTGTAATATCTTTGCATCTTAACAATGCTCACGTGATCTCATTGTGGGGAGCTCTGCCACTAAACCTTTAACATGACCTTTAACAGGTTTAAAGGTTACAGTAGTCAGAAATAATGTTTAACAGTTATAGCTTCTTCAGCAATATTTGCATTCGCATTTCAATCCGCCGGTCAATGTATTCATGCTGTTATTAATATTAACGGTCACCTTTAAAGATGTTTTATTTCCCCGCCACAGTTGCTGTTTAGCAAATACATAAGTTGGTGTTATGTTTTAACCTACAAGCATGCCTACATATGTTTAAATTGCTTGTCTGTTGTCATCATGGTTAAGTACACAATCGCATTCCATTCTATTAGAGTATATTAGACAGGAGACTTCAGTATAAACCTACTGTTATTCTGTCGCTCGAAAGTGATCACTCATCACTTTACCCTAATTTATGTTGCTTTTGAAATGAAAGACGATCTTTCTTTGTACTATGAAATAAAACATGTTCTATTGAGATTTTCGTTTTGTTGCAAAATGTGTAGTTAACTTTAGATGATCTTTAGAAAGGCCGGCATTGTATTTCTTTGAGTAAAATTGCAGGAGCTTCAGTAGATCTTTTAAAATTGCGCTATTTCCCGAACTCCAACAATATGAAGCTCTCTTACACACATTGCTTTGTAAAGAGCCCCGCGACCTTACTTGTGATAGGGGACCTTCACTTTACCTTTACCAAAACTTACGGTACGTTTTACAATTACAGCTCTCTCCGCCCTACTACTCTACTATTGCATTTTGATCCGAACCAATGTAATTTTCTGACTTATTACCAGTTTTTTTTATTGATAATTTCTAAAACATTCTATTTCACCGCAAGTGCCATGAGTATGTTTAAATTTGAAATGTGTGGTAGCTGATGCTTATTTGCCATTTCAGCGGAACCCCCCATACCGGAGCGAGGACCGCCCCTGACCTCCAGTATCGAGCTGAGATACATCCCCTTGTGTGTTGATCTCTGTCACTGGATCAATGATTACACTGGAGTCTCTATGGAGGTCAACCAATTCTGGACGGTAAGTTTTGCAGCTACTTGTGGGGAAATGGTGGGAAGATATCCGAGTAATCGCTGCGTGCCGTCAGGAGTTAAGGCACCCAATGGCTCTGCAATATGTTGTACCAATACCAAACCCAGTGGATGGTTACTGGTGCCATCTCCAATCTCCATTCATATGGTAACGAAGGCGGTGCCATCGCGACATAATACATATATGATGTGGATATATTTGATATTGAGCTGAATGATATAACTCACTGAATGATGTCACTGAATGGCGTCAATAGTGGTGTATTAGGTATTTTACAAAAATCGTATTTTAACTAGTGTTTAAATAATTACCTCATGTGTAACTGTAATGTGGAGCGAATAAAACTAAAGGATCTCCTGTTCAAAAACTTATAACGAAAAAATAATGCCAATAAATCAAAATGAGCAAGCATTGTGTGCGGCTTTCTTTTACTAATTGCCTTATAATGTTCTTTATTCATGCAGGTAACCAACTAGCTTTATCAATGTCACACTATACCAAACACTCCTAATGTCTAGCCATATATAAATGAACAACATTTAAATTGAATAGCTTGTGTTTGAGCGAGTATCTATCCACTAAGTTTAGTACTAATGCTAACAGACCCTCACGTCATGTTTATTTGTGTAGCTGCTGCAAGACGGGTGTATCCTGTGCGACCTGATGAACAAGATCCAGCAGCAGCACTGTGTTAACATAGAGGAGACGTATCAGTACGTTGGTTACACTCTTAAGAGGGACCTGGGAGACCAGTTATTTTATGTCAGACTCAACGTGGAGACCTTTATCAGGTGAATAATAGTTATACTATTTATTTTACTTTTAAGCTTTTATTATAAATCGCCTACGTTTTTACTGAGCAAGTCTACGATTCTGGAATTTACTTGGTAAACATGACCTGCTAAATTTACTATTTGTCTGGCCTCTAAACCTCTGAAACGACAGCCTCTAACTCTAAGTCTGTAGAGTTTAAGCGACAGATCATGTAATGCCTATGTTCTATAGTGGCAGTAATGAATCCGGCCACCATAACCTGATCCCAGTATATCATTTGTGTTGCAGGTGGGCTAAGAACTTTGGTTGTGACAAGGAGTTGCTGTGTCAGGTTGGGCACCTGGTGGAAAGGAAGGATCTGGAGCGAGCTTTGTCCTGTGTTCATGCTGTGGCTAGACGGGTTGCTGAGCTTAGGATGCCCTACCCCAAATGTGTCAAGTTGGAGGTGAGTCGTTTAACCAGGCCATGCTTACGTACCACATTTGAAATTTTAAGATTAGCTTAATCCATCTTGAAAGAGCTGGAAATATCATAAGACCCGACCGTTTTTTCGGCATCATTTATTTATAATTTTCACACTAATTATAATTGTTCCATCTCAGGGGTAGCCAAAACATTAATCCAGATTCTCAAAAAATAAAACCTAACTCGATGTGTTACCCAGGTGAAGTTTAACATGAGCTACAATGACATAGTGGACCTGTTTGATGAGCACCACTCCTCTCTGAACGAGGATCAGATCCATGTTAAGAAGTGCTACGCTGACCTTTGTGAGCAACTTGGTCTCGGCAAAATGGAGTGAGTGTTATTTTATCATCTTAACACGTGGTATTCAGCAGTGTTTTAGCAGATTATTAATCCAGGAGGACACTCAAGCCCGCATCAAAATAAACTGGGTGGAATTCTACCCTTCTGCTTAATATCCGGTTTATCCGAAGAAATCACCCTATAATTCTTCCAATACTATTTCAGTATCACAAAACCACTGAAGAGCAACTCGTCAGAATGGAAGTCTCGGCTCAGTGACTTGTGGATCGGAGAGAGGCCCCTTACAAATGGTAACATTGAGCCTATACCTGAGTGAAATACTGATACATTGAATAATGATCAGTGCAGATCATGTTTCTGTTAGCTTAAGATTAAAAGACTGTCGTTGGTAAATATTTCTTTGAATGTACATTTAATTGATGGTAATTTTGGCTATTATGTATAATATATGTTTTCATGAGAATTTAAACTAGGGTATAATCACTGTTCAAAAACATTAAATAAAGATTAAAATTGCTAACAAGAAATTAATTTGTTAGTCATTTCTTCGCACAGCGATCATTCACAGTATTTTAAAACTCATACATAAAATTCAATTTAATAACATATTTAATTGCAACATAAAATGAAGTTAATGTATTAGAAATTGAAATTCTCAGTAGAGGAAATGGAAAATTTTTAACTTGAACAAGATTAAAATTGATTATATTCTGAATCGCTTAAAAGTCAAAATAAATGATCTCAATTGATATGACTACGACTGACGAAGAATGCAATTTTTGCCTCTCTAAATTCTACATTATCAACAAAGCGCTAAAATCTACAGCAGCTAATGAATGTCAATTCTACACATCTTCTAAACAATGAAGCTAGTGCTTTTGGTGGCCAGATCAGATCTAGCGATTTTAATGGTTAAATTTAAGGTATTGCTTTACAGAAATAAAATAGTAAAATGGCAACTCTACTAAAATAAAGTTTTGTTAGTTGTAGACAGTTTTTTCCACGATATCGACGCAGTTTTCCGGCTTATCCTTTGTGTCTACTTTCTATCTTTCTAGTAGATAACTAACTGAGTCTAACTATTGTGACTATGCTTTATCAGGCAATATTAAGTCCTATCTTTATCGGATTGCACCGTAATCTGTCGCTTTTTCGAATGATGATCGCTTTTTCTGTCTCATTTTCATGTTTTGCACAACCCACAGAGCTATGAGAGACAGTCCTGAATACATGAGATGATTAACGGAAGTGTAATTACCTTGATAATTTAGTAAAAATAGGTTTAAAATACAAATTCGGTAAAAATAAACTTTTACTGTGGCCATGATTTTGGTTTAAACGTAATATTTCAAGGATTTATTTAATCAAAAAAGTTATTCGACCATAACATTTATGAGGAATCAAACCTATGATGAGACAAGCGACAGCAAAACCAAAAATGACAAAGAACCACGTAGGTGTCAATATTCCGATATCCTCAGCCCCTGATCCGTCATTAATGCCCAGAACAGCATCAGTAACTCCCAAAGCTGTCCCGATTATTGTAAAGATTATTCCGCATAGCAGATAAACTGATCGTTTGAATTCCAACTCTTCGACTGAAATCAAGGCATTAATGATAATCAATATTACATATGATGAGCTGGTCCCAAGTCCAGACGCCATTTTATTCTTTGTAATTTCAATAACCCCGTTTATATTAGCGCTGATCTGTCAACAAAAATATTTGCATTATAAAAATACTGTCAAGTTTCAACGAAGGTACCTTCATTGCAAGACTATTCCGAGTAGATTGAAGTAGAACTAAGGTTATTAAAATTATTACCTTGTTCTTGGGAGAATCTCGACCCATCCTTATTTCCAGAGAAAACAGCAGGGTAACAGAGAGCGAACCACCAGGTGATATCAACTTTATTACCCTCACCCTCACCCTCACCCTCACCGCCTGAGGCTACTTGAGGTACTGAGCTCGAGGTAGGTGGTGAGACTGAGGTAGAAGGTACCTGACTTTGTCGGGACTCGATTGAATCACCTTCGCATGCTGGATTTGTGCGTCCGTCCTGTTGTTCGGGATCATCCTGAACGAGTGAAACTTGAGTTTTCTAATTTTTCAATTTTTCAATTGACTTCGGTATGAAAAAGGAGTCGTTTACAACAAAGGTTTAAATGGAAATAGAAACATATCTTAGTTCTAGGAACAATCCAAATTCAAATACACCTCGACGTTCTCAATATAACCACTCACTTTGGTTGCTGAGTGAACAAGTATCTCCATCACCTGAAGTTTATATTATATTAAATCAAATCGGTAAATCTTAGAAATATCTCACTAAACTTAAATTCTACGAAAGAAATAAATCACTTTCAAAATTAATAAAATAAATGTTGCCTTTCTATCGACACAATATTTTCCAAGCAGCTGTCAGCTTACCGGAGCAGATGGGATAACACGATCTTTGGTCTCGTACACAATCGGCTCCACAACCAACTCCTCCTCGACTGGAACATCCTCCTTCGTCTCTATCTCCAGCTGGGGACCTGATGACACTGGTAGGTATTCCTCATCCTCCTCATCCTCACTAAGTGAGTCACTCGAGTACTCTTCGTCAGATGTGGACGCCTCCACTGGTGTAGACGCATCCACCACTGCAGGTACATTAAAATGAGTCAAATTTGATCCAACTGAACTGGTGGATATCACTGATATGCGACGGCTGGTGGTAACCGATATTCGGCGACCACCGACGATCGCTAACTCTTCGACAACCATAGACTCCTCTTCATTTGATTCTTCCATTGCTATAATCACACAGCTTAGCTGTGGTGACCACTGCTTGATAGTAATAGCATTAACTAATAGTAAAATGTATTATCACACTTAATCTTTATTCGAAATCGAATCATTGCTCACTACACATCAAATTGTTAAAAAACGAGTTGCTATAGGAGCTTACATCTAATTATAATGGTAGATGGTATAAACAGTGCTTAAAAAGTGCTACAATTTATCAGAAAAAGAAGCAACCCAAACAAGCTGGTGTAGTCTGACTTAGACGTTACCCAGTATCAAACAAACCTATGGCGACTTGTTCCACTTCAACTGCTACATCTCTTGCTGGTCTTGCCTCCACTCCGTCTGCAGCTTCATATTCAGGTGTTGCATGAACCGCTTCTACTAGATGTTGCTCCACATGTATGTTGAGATCTTGATCATCAGCCATGTCTTCGGTTTCCAATTCCAATGCGACGTCTGGAGAACCAAAGTCAGGTTGAGAGTGGACCGCTTCGACAAGATTCTGCTCCACAGATATATTGATGTCTTGATCACCCAAAGCTATGTCTTCAGTTTCCAACTCCAATTCCAATTCAACACCATCCATTGGTAAATCTTCACATACCATATCTTCGTCATCATCATGGAAAGTACCTTCTTCCAGACTCAGAACAACTTCTGTTTTATCAGAATCTAAACCTTCAGTGATATCTTCAAAATCTACTCCTCGATTAGAGGACTGCTCTTTGGGAGTTGCTCTTTGGACAGGCGAGACTGCTGTGACTGACCCTATAGATGCAGCTCTGCCAGAAATAGGTGATCCAGCGGATACTGCAATATCACCAGCTGATCCAGCCTCATAATCTGCCACGATATCTACTGCTGGTCTTCGATCAGGGAACTGCTCTTTTGGACTTGCTCTTTCGAATGGTATCACATCTTTTTTCATGTTTTCTGCCTCGAACATATCTATATCCACATCAGGTGACGCTGCTGTGACTGACCCTATAGATGCAGCCCTGCCAGAAATAGATGAACCAGTAGTTGGTGATACTGCAATATCACCAGATGATGTAGCCTCATCTTCGAGGATATCCATCCTAGGTTCGGGTGACCCGAAAGATGAGGAGAGCATAGAATCAGGCGTACCAAACCGTGGCGAAGATTGCATCTCGTCCAAAATCTTGCTAGGGTCGGGGGAAACGATACCTCCTCGGGATATGAGTGACGACTTGGTGAACGATTTCCATCTCTTAACCGCTGAGGAAGACCGCTCCAGTTCTATCCCTTCCTCGTCAGCTTTATTAACTTCATTCTGTATTTCACCGACAGTAGTCGAGATAGCAGCTACACTCAGAACCTTTCCGCCCGAGCTGCGTTTCATGCTCAGCTTGATCAGATCCTGCCAGCGTATCTTGGTGGACTTTTCAAGCTTAACGAGCTCGGGGGGCTCTACCCCGTAGCGGTCTGCTAACCTGTTGGAACAAAGCAACCATAAGATTACACAAGTTGGCAAAATCGGGCAAAGGGGATAAGCCGATTCATGGTACATGTGCTTAATCTTTAATCCGGTTAAACTAACTGCCATGCAGATCAATTTAACAAGAATAAAGATACATCACTTTACGCGTACTCTATCAAATCTTAAAGTTAAACTTTAAACCAACAACGGAGAACTGAATCTGATCTAATGACCCCGCCTTTACTAAGAAACGAATAAAATTCCGTCAATATTAGTATGCTAGATTATATAATGGCGTACAAATTTAATCTGTTAACGATTAATTTGATGAGGCGAATTCTTGATTGGAATGATCATAAGATGTACACCGCCTAACTTAGGGTTTGTCCTCAACGTGTTAATGTTCCATGGCATTAGTAAAAGTCAGCAGTTCTCCGTTATGATCGAAAGGGGATAATCTAAATGAAGGGTATTTTTTTAACGATTTTTTAACGACGAGCTGCTCACCTAGATATCTCCAACATGCATATCAAAACATTTCTGATAAACTTAAGTTCTACAATGTCGGCTGTCTCAAATAAGCAGGTTTCTCGTACTCCCAAGTCCTTCGCCCACTTCAAAAATGCCTCTGAAAATACAATGTTTACACTCTTTGAATACTGTTTGATTAAAATATATAATAGGAAACGGTAACGAAAGTTATCCACCTTTTGTATCGTATCAACATTAAAAGAATAGATTCTCCTGGGCTATTATTTAATCTAACCTATGTTACATCTAGCTTGAAAAGAGCCAGCTTTTGCGCCAGACTTGAATCTCAGCGTCGGGCATTTCATTCCCATTTCTTCAGCTTTCTTGGCTATACCCAAAGCGAGCCTACAAAGATCATCACCAGTCTGTAGTGGTACTGAAACATTTCAGGATTAAAACAATTTTGTTATTAAAATGCTCTTTGTAGCCATATATTGTTACATAACATTTTGATATCGTCATAGTATTGATGATGTGAATTAAGTTATGGAGTTTTGAAGAATAAATAAATAAATAACACCCGAACGCAAACCAACCCCAAAAGTTGTCAGGAGAGATTTTTATTTCGAGGATTCTGCCGAGCCACTGACAGAGATCCTCAAGGAGTGGCTTCAAGATGGGGTCCATCAGGAGACGCTGTGTTTTCTCTGCCTCCGCCTCTCTGCCCGCCTCATCTGAAATAAAAGTACAAGTTAGCCATCTTGAGTTGGATAATTACTGATACATATTGTATCGGCAATTACTGCTGCCATTAATCACTGCTAGCATCAATTACTGCTAGTATCAATTACTGCTCGTATCAATTAATGTTTAGCCTCATCTAGAGAAGAGCTGACCAACTAATGATAATTCTCTCTGTAATACGATCTATACAATCCCTTCAATCTTCACATTTCAACATGATTTGCCTAACATTATTGTGAAGTAACGTGGTGTCCAAAATGTAGTGAGGACTGTAGAGGTAAATCGAGTGTCTGTTATAGTCAGTCACCAGTCTTTCAGCAAGGTCAAACTATTTAATGTCATATTAGAGGCTAATGGGTGATTCAAACGTTGAATTTCTACTTAAACTGCCTACTTTGAGGAAGGGGAACCCACTTTATCTTCAGTATGATAGAATGATCTTGAGACGAAAAATAAAATCAAAATACCCCAACGAATTTACATCCCGCGTTCAGTTCTTGGCATTCCAGCTGCCCCAGGGAGTTCTCAGGAAGAATTGCAATAGCGATAACACATGTTGTGCTGAGTGTCCAATTCAAATTATTTGCCCATGCAACTTTTTTTTTGCAACCATCAGTTATTTCCATCTCTACAGATTTCAAAGTTATTTTCCTACTTCACCAGTGTAAACGCTTTGAAAATCGTTGATCACTCGACTATGATCTGGAATGCTGAAAATTCAACTTAGAATTTCAGTCGGTAATGGTATTTTTATTCGGGTGTACGATATTCTGATATTTGATCTTTCGACATTTCATCTCACATTACTAAACCCCATAGATTTTAAGCCTTAAAACAGGATTTACCACCCACAACTGTAACTACCCTTTACTCACCCATAAATGTAACCAATATCCCTGACCCAAATAACGCTTTTAAAATAGTGGAGATGAAATGTTGATGGGTGCAATGTCCGGTCCCCCTTGCTTCATCCTTTCCATGACTAAAAGCTATGAATTAAAGAGCGCGGTAGTTACGATCCCAGGAGACGCAGCATAATTTTTTTTGTTCACCCTCAGGCCTTATCGATTAAAAATGTTATTTATTCCTCTTATAACTTGAGAGTAGTAGCGTAACGTTGCATGTTACGCCACTACTTGAGAGTAGTAGCGGGGGGGGGGTACCAATGGCATAAAATGGCATAAAATGGCAGTTACGAAACTCGAGAGACTGTGGGATACTGAAGGGAAAGGAAGCAGTTCTAACGAGCTCTTCTCAAACACAAGGATATAACTTGTGAACTCGGCTAGTATATATGAAACATTTGTCATGGAGTTGTAGAGGGAGTTATGTGCCTCGCCGGGCTAAAGTAGTGGATGACCTTGCTGTACGGCAAGTTAAACAAGGATCTGAAACTACTAGGTTCCGTACAGACTCAACTCTGCACCCGTGTCAATATGTTCATTATATGCAAGCCTCTTGATTTATAAATGGCATACGTTTTTTGGCATAAATGGAAATTTTTATTGGCCAATTCTCCATTTATGCCATGAATTTAGGTCTTCATATTTGACTTTTAATTCGCAAATTATTATTAATACTTGAATAAGAGACATGTTTCATGCTTTATAACGCTTGGAATGATCGTTAAAGATTCATATGACAAATAAAGAAAATAGAAATGTATTATATCAAAAATGGCATAAATGGCATACGTTTTATGGCATAAATGGAAATTTTTATTGGCCAATTCTCCATTATGCCATTTATGCCATTGGTACCCCCCTGTAGTAGCGTAACGTTGCATGTTACGCCACTGCTTGAGAGTATTAGCGTAACGTTGCATGTTACGCCACTGCTTGAGAGTAGTAGCGTAACGTTGCATGTTACGCCACTGCTTGAGAGTAGTAGCGTAACGTTGCATGTTACGCCACTGCTTGAGAGTAGTAGCGTAACGTTGCATGTTACGCCACTACTTGAGAGTAGTAGCGTAACGTTGCATGTTACGCCACTGCTTGAGAGTAGTAGCGTAACGTTGCATGTTACGCCACTACTTGAGAGTAGTAGCGTAACGTTGCATGTTACGCCACTACTTGAGAGTAGTAGCGTAACGTTACATGTTACGCCACTGCTTGAGAGTCTCATTCACTATAGATACTTCAAACACACCTTGATCCTCATGTTGGTAGATGCCAAACATCTGCCCTCAAGTTCTCCTCTCAATCACATGTTTCTTCTCCACCCTGGTATACTGACCGATAGGGCGGGTCAACTCTCACAGTCAGAACCCAAACCTATACCCAGTACATCATCAGTCCGCCTTAAACTGGGGTGATATCAACATATTGTATCAAACTAGAAGGCTAGCAAAACAAACAACAAAGAGGCTGGAGTAGCACCTTCACGAGTAGGGTGCACTAAGTTATAGAATCTCAATTATATAGTGTCGATTATAATGCCACACAGAATTACGCTATAATGGCACACACCAATCTTATAGAAACAGACTCTAAAAGCCAAGAAACAGACTCGATCTACATTCTACAAGCTGAGAAACAGACGGACTCTAAAAGGAGTGTCTGAGGTGTTATATGCTTACTGGGTGAGCTCAGAGCAGATATAAGAGAGTAAGAGTTTAAACAGGAAGATACCTAGTTTTATATGAGGTGCACTTCACACGTGCCCTCAACTGCAATTATACAATAAAGAGGGAGATACAGTTCACTAAGCACTAAAGAATGGGATATAAGGCGTTTGAGTGGGTGGGGGATGTGAAATGTTGTCTAAACAAAAGAGACAAAAGGGAAGAAGTTGAATAATATGGGGTCATTGTTTGCTTGACAGTAGTTTTGGAGGGGTTTCAGGTGACAAACACACGAGATAACTACGTCGTTAAAAAGAGCGGGGAACGTATTTCGTCAACAAAGTACAAAGACCCGAATGAGTACTGCATGAAATTGTAGCAATACCCATTTTTACCATTAAGAAACAACTGCACTGTTGATCTGAGTTTTGTCAAAGGAAGCTGTGGAGCTCCTTTGAAAGCTGCAACATGCTCGTCTGTATTCGATTAAGGTAATGGATCTTACTCGACTCATACAAGAACGCATTGTGCAACTACCCAAGCTGTTCAAAGAGGGTGTTAAACTAAGAGTGCACAATGTGTTTCAATTAGCTAACAGAACCCTACGATCCAGCAGCTTGTCTAGACTTTAATAGTATTCGTTTCAGGAAATATGTTTCATAGTTTTAGCATATTAATTTCTGGGTTTTTGAAAGGTCCTGGAGACAGTCAATTTTACAAAGATTGAGAAGACATGCAGCTCCACAGACTAACAGTATAAATAACATACCTGATCCAACGACCAAAGATCCACCAATTCCAGCAGCATTAGTAGAACTGATTTCGTGGGAGCGAATATACGCTATGTACCCCGAGTAAGTAAACCTGTGCCTTCCCCGAGTAACACATTTCTTGCACTGGCAAAGTCCGGTATCACCGAGCATGGTTAATCGGCCCCAACGAATCCGAGCCAAAAAAAGTGCTCACATCGACCCAAGTCGATTTGTGGAAAACAAAGTTTTTTATTGAAAGTCAAGCTCTCGCAGTTTTGTCAAATAAGTCGCATCGAAAGACTAAACGGTATAGAAAATTACTGTTTTGAAATGAAAACACACCTTCAACATCACGCTCCTGTACGGCAGATTAATGAGTACTATCATTACTCGTTATAGCATACAGTCACGTGACAGACCGTTTCTTCACACAATCATTGCTTTCTGGCTGTACTGCTGGTCTTTAGCTCTTGGAATACTGACAACGAAACACTTGATGACAAAGTACATTGTACTTTTTAGGTTATTTTTTCACAGATCAAGGGTACAGATTTCTAGTTTATCTGTGCTCGAGGATTATGTTGAGAGTCAGTCAATATACACTATACAGTACTATATAACTCAGCTTTTGGGGACCGATTATTGCATGTTGCGACATATTGTAGCTCCTTTGATGCTAATGATGGCTGCAAGGGAAACGCCCGACCCCTACAATAATTCATATCACGTAACCTGATGATTCGATAGATCAGTTGAAAGATCAGTGGTTAGATCAGTGCAGATGTTCCCTCCCTCTATACTACTGGATTAGTGGATCTGTAGATCAGTGGTTCACGGCATCACGCAAAGTTCATCTAGCGTGATTAAAAGCCCCGACATTGGTACATTTCAAGGCCCTAGGGCCTAGGCAATGAAATTTGCAGGTATGGCTGTCAAAATAATTACTTGGGAGATCTGCATTGCCGTTCAACTTCTTTCCACGAAATTTAAGATCATCGTCTTAATCCGATTATAAGCATTGAACTTAACTAAATAATAATTGTATGATGGAAAATGGCAAGAATAACAAATAAAGCTGCCGTCATTAGAAATTGGATGCAGAGAATGGTAAAAACTAGTCAGCAATTCTCTACAAGTACAACCGCATATATAATCGTAACTAATGAATCGGAGGGGGTTCTGACTTTTGGAGTATAACTCAAGTAATTTCTAACAACTAATGAACTGTGAGCGATTAATACTAATATAGCCCAGGAATCAGGATGCAAATACGAGAGCACTGAAGTAGCATCTGGTATAGTAATCACTAAAACACTAGTAGCAGTTGTAAAACTAATGTAAAACTAATGCTTATTACTAACGCGTCAGGAATTGAGCACGTTCATTGGCCGCACTAAGTACGTAAGTGCGATCAATCTGGGGTGATAAAAGTTGTTTCTTTATGCCAAAGATCAGTTCGTAGAGAGCAGAAAAACGAGAATTGAGCACTAAATACCTAGATAAACGGCGCTATATAAGTCGTTGCGGGCACTAATAAAATGTGTAAATGATCTACCCAACCCTGATTATATGGACCACGAGCAGGATGATAATAAAGAAATGATACTAGTGTGTGCAAATGGCAGCTGGCAGCGAGCCGTGCTGAAATGGTTAATAAAGTCAATATACAGTCAATATATAGCTAATTTATAGCCAAAATATAGCTATTTATTGGCAAAAGTGACCCCTAATGTTTTTGTATGAAATGCATCTGACAGCTTGATAAACTTTAAGCCAGTGAACTGGGTGAAGTTAATAGACTTAATACTGCTGTCTAGTCACACCAAATAACATGATGTTGATAATCCACGCAGTCAACGTTAGGGTTTCATGAAGACTACAGCATCTATTAAACTAGTAAAGAGCAATACTTATCAGCAGCAGCAGTGGAAATGATTGGGAAGGATAGATGGCAAGGATGTAATGTGGCCCGTGCTCGTTCGGAGATATCTAATCAAAGAAATGAGATCAAAAAGATTTCATACGTCGGCCAACAAAACTGCACAATATAGCACCAAGGTTGTTGCCTACAACAGTATTATAGTGCTGCAGTGCAGCTATCAAAATTATCTGATACAGTACTTTAGTGAGTGTTATCTATAACTTATATATAGATTACATGTTCAGTATTATAATACTACAGTGGTATTCCTATGTCATCTTATTATATCCACCAGCGTGCGCTTTTTCGCATAGCGGGCTCTCACCAGCCCGCTGTCAAAGGGCCCGATATCTCTACAGCCCGCTCATGATATAGCCCGCTAACAAGTGACATTTAATTTGACCAGTAGCAATATAGCCCGGAGTTCTCTAAAATATTTTCAGTTTCTGTATCGTCTCCATGTGAAATTCCATAAGACAACAACTTACAAGTTACTTAGAACTATACAGTTGTATAGTTGAAACCGGTTTAATTCATTAACGATGAATTCAATTGCAATAATCGTACAGTGAGCTAATTAGTGTAGTTTCTGTTTCTAAATTCCCACGGCAATATGCAGTGGATGTAAAGAATGTACAATGTATCAACTGCAAACTCTGATCGCTCACCCTCTATCGGACGCTATATCAGTTGTCACGCAGTTTGCCATGATTGGCTCATAATTAACACGTGACACTGACACACTGTTACTATGGTTACCACGAATTTGCAAATTCGTGGAGACGTCCAGACTAAATTCTAAGCCGGTGATCTCTATTATAGTATCGATAATTGTTTTGTGTTTACCATTTCAGTTGTGTTTACCATTTTCATTTCACTAGTTCAGTCGATAAATCTTGAAATGGGCCGAAATTTTACGTGTTATTCTATTGTGTTCCCGAAAGATATTTTGCCCTGTTTTTGTTTTGAAACTGCCATTTAAATTGATGTTATGAATTTGATCTTAAACTTTCATATTAAATGTCCATGATCAGACTGTGATCTCGAGCTCTCTGGGTTACTACTTTTAAGTGTCCAGCCACTCAGTAGCTGCTACAGAAACTGTAGTAACTGGTTACCGGCTGGGTAACCCTGGTTACCCAGGTAACTGACATGATAATGACAACTAACTTGGTAGTAGAGGGCTCTGTGGCGACTGGTGGTGCTTGTTCTGGTTCCAGGGAGGGAGAGGGGAGAGAGGTAGAGAAGTATAGAGGAAGAGTAGGAGAGAAAGAGAGGGAGAGGAGGAGAGAGGGAGATAAAGAGAGAGGGATAGAGGGAGAGAGGGACGTAAGGAGGGTGGGAGAAGGAGAAAGGAAGATAGGGAGAGAGTGAGAGAGGGATAGAGGGATAGAGGGAGAGAGGGATAGAAGGAGAGAGGGAGAGAGGCCTATATTTTGATCGTTTACATTAAAATATGTACCTGAAACAATGAGCTGAAACATTGTTTGATAGCGGCCGCTTTTTCGTTCTATAGTCAGTCATTTTGGCCTGTTTTACATCTTAAACCAAAAGCAACATGATTTTTTCGTAACTTTTCTGAAATCTTGTACATTAATTTGCTGTGATTGTTGCAAACTGAAGCTTCGTGATAAACGCCCGCTGATGGATATACACGATATCATTCCTCGCCTCGAGGGCGGAACTATCGTATTAGAAACATGTTGAAAGTAAAAGTGAAATTAAATTAAAAATGGATCTCTTGAAGAAACTAAAGTAAAACTAATATCTGTAAGAAAAAGCTCACGCTGGTGGATATAATCCACATCACCTCGACCCGCGGGCGGAAAAATCGTATAGCACTCGGGCCCGATGGGCCCTCCGTGCTATACGAAAATATGTCCTCCTCGGGCTAGCGCCCTCGGGGACATATGAAATATTGCACGCGCGTGCGCGTGCAATATTTTGTTCCGCCCGCGAGTCTCCGGTGATATGTATATATATACAATTACAACATAACAAAACTATTGTCTGAAAGGAGATTATGGGAAGGCACCCTACGCTGAACCCACATGAGATTTACGGTTAATGCCTGGCCAAGTTTGCTAACATTCACTGATAGGACGATATTCTGGCGGAGAAACGAAGCAAAAGAAGTTAACTTACATTCAAATATAAGAACAACAGTCGCACAAATACATATCTTGTGAATAGCCGCAAGCTACCAAAGCTACCTAAGCTACCTAAGCTACCTAAGCTACCTAAGCTACCTAAGCTACCTAAGCTACCTAAGCTACCTAAGCTACCTAAGCTACCTAAGCTACCTAAGCTACCTATCCAAGTTACCTAGCTAAGCTACCTAAGCTACCTAAGCTACCTAAGCTACCTAAGCTACCTAAGCTACCTAAGCTACCTAAGCTACCTAAGCTACCTAAGCTACCTAAGCTACCTAAGCTACCTAAGCTACCTAAGCTACCTAAGCTACCTAAGCTACCTAAGCTACCTAAGCTACCTAAGCTACCTAAGCTACCTAAGCTACCTAAGCTACCTAAGCTACCTATCCAAGTTACCTAGCTAAGCTAGCTAAGCTACCTAAGCTAGCTAAGCTACCTAAGCTACCTAAGCTACCTAAGCTACCTAAGCTACCTAAGCTACCTAAGCTACCTAAGCTCCTAAGCTACCTAAGCTACCTAAGCTACCTAAGCTACCTAAGCTACCTAAGCTACCTACAGCACTCAGATATACTATGGGTAAATTTGGTTCACCACACCTCCATATTATGTGGTATTTATTTACTTATTCATTTGATTGACAGAATCTCCACAATACATCATTCATAAATGAGCACCCGGGGTTTTATAGGTACCTTTGTGAGGGTAATTTGTGTTGGGTCCCTTGAGCTAAGTTATTTCGAAATAAAGCGAAAATCTTGACGATAAATAATATTTTTGCAAATTCATGACACGAAATAAAGCTACGTTGGGAGGGCATGCCACATGCTGGAAGATAATGTTAAGATATAACCCACTTAATGAGGCAATTCGGTAATCTGTCGATGCAGTTTCTTAACGCACGGTTAAGGCACGGTTAACGCACACTTATAACGGACACTGAACGCACGGTTAACGCACGGTTAACGCACGGTTAACGCACGGTTAACGCACAATGGTTATTTAAGGAACGAACACTTAACTGTGCTTTAACCATGCGTTAAGTGACCATCGACAGATTACCGAATTGCCCTAAAAGAATTGTAAAGAAAGGCACTCACAGGCGTGACAAGTAGCTGTTGGTTAGAAGAAACTGATCAACTTAACGAAAAAATCAAGTTATTCAGGGTCCATATTCCCCACTTGTGTTCAACGACAATTACTATACAAATTATACGATCAGACTCGGTTAATACGCTATTATAACATATGTTAACTAAGCAGTATAACGAATGATTACATACCGTACCTTGTTATTACGGTTACAACAACAAAAGATTTATACATTCCTAACG